GATGTTAAAGTTGAAAGTATTAATTAATTCAGTAAGTTTGGAGACTGAGAAAGTCCGAAAATTTCAAAATGATTCTGATTGAGGTTATTGAGAAATCTCAATGGAAGTCCTAAAAATACGCCTACATTAAAATTTGGAGTCAAATCGAATTTTATTGATCGCTCATAAACTAAGCTAGATACAAAAATCACACAAGTGATGAAAAAGTTGTTATTTAAACCTAGGTGTTCGATTTTTTATTTCGCTTTCACATTGGTATAGTTTGATCAAAAATGAAACAAGCAGAAGGTTGTCACCTAATATGTCATAATATTTTCATAATAAGAAACTCAACACAAAATCGTGATAAGACACTCACTTTCAATTTGTATCGAAGAATTTCAGAATTTTTAATATCAACTTGATGAACTCATGAGTAAATAGCTAAGCTCCTATAACCATAACATAATTCCTAACCGAAGCGCCTTAATACTTCGAGTTGTACAACCTGATTACTTAATATTATCATTAGAATACCGTGGTAAATTATTGAGATGAATGAATATAAATACTCACAATCTGTTCTCCAGTGAAAACAAAATGAAGGTCAACCTTCGAAGACAAACTGAAAAGGATAATCCAGGAATTTCTTTGAGTTATTATCTTCGATCATTCGCTGTTGTGATATTGATTTGATGGTTTTATCGTATCAAATACTAATTTTCAGGAATCCATCAAGGACGATATCTATATCAAAACACTAATTCAAAATCTATAACCGTCGTGTTCTGTAACGACTTCTCATCTATTATTTATCTTTCACTGCATTGATTAAATTTCACTACGCCATTACTGATGAGTTTTCCTTCGATGAAGGGTCCTGGGAAATCTCTTTTTCCTCGGAGATACTCATGTTCGAACTAACGATGAAACAGCATGCGTTGTTTATAAAATTCTTTTTTATCTGAGATAACAGCGCACAAAGGCATTAGTTTTCGCACGTACGGGAAATAATCAACAATGGATATTTTTATCTCCAACTAATAAGTTTCATAATAATCATAACGCCCACTTCCACTTGAGGGACATTTTACAAGGTGCTGCGAGATTGATTTATTGAAACATACTTGATCATTGCGTAAAACTCAAATATATATTGACATACTGTAAGGGTCTTCAGTAATGAAGGATGTTCTAGCATGGAATTCTTCGTTGTGGCTCAAGACATTTTGTGAAACAAGGAATCAATTTAGAGCAGTTGTTGCTGCTACTTATAATACCTATATATATGTACTAGTTATAGTTTTTTTCAAGTACTTCAATGACGAATACTCCGTTTTCCAACTTTATAATATATGGATATTTGAAAAACATAGAAAGTGATAACACTTAGGAATCATACCGATATATATTGACATGCGACAAAGCCACGATGTAGGCTACATCATAGACGTCCAGACAGGGGTGGGCAAGGAGAACAATGTGCCCCAAATAGGTAAAATTAATGACAAAGGAAAGCTTTTTTTAATGACAACCTCAATTTTTCTCTGGTGATTTTATTTTGGAAATGATCAAGTTCGACTTTACTTCACTCACTTCACTTCACTTTACTTCACCAAGTTCATTACAAAAATATGTTTCTGGTGGTGAGTAGATCAGATACTTTGAAGATCTCATTCTGTATCTGAGAAGGAAATTTATTTCATGCAAAAAAAACATTTTTGTTTTACTTGATTATTTGGAATTTTCTATCCTCGTTTCTATAAAATGAAAATTGGAGTATTATCTCAATATAAGTATAGTAGGACAAATCAGATGATATGCCCCAAAATGTCAAGGCGTTTAACAAAGGAAGCCTTAAAGAAAACACAAATAGTTTATCGGTAACACTTTGATTGTATGTTTATTCACAAATGTTCCAAAATAAAACTGAAAATAGTGAAACATAAATTAGAAGATGATGAAACTATTATCGAGAGAATCAATCTGGTTATCGAATGAATTTTGGAATTCTTGGAATTATGCCTAAAAATTACATATTTTCAATCAGATGATGAGTTTCATCAACAATGTTTTGGCATGGCTATGGGCTCACCACTATCTCCAATTTTGAGAAATATATTCATGGAGAATTCCGAAGAATACATTATCAAACAATATACGAAAAAGAACCAAAAACGTGGTGGAGATATGTAGATGACATTTTTTTAATTTGGTCACATAACCTTATGGAACTAAATAATTTTCATCATGCGAACAATGCCAAAACCATAAAATTCACTTTGGCGATTGAATCTGAGAATCAGTTAATGAAATGAATGAAATGTCCTCATTAAGAAATCAAACAATGTTTTCGTAACAAGTGTATATCGTTAAAAGACTCATACTAACAGAACCCTCGATTTTCAATCGAATCATCAGAAATTTATCAAAAAAGGAATAATCAAATCACTTCATGATCGAGTCAAATCAATAACATCTAACCAACGAATTTTCAATAACGAAATCCACCACATTAAAAATATTCTACTCAACTCCTATCGAGAGAATTTCATTGATAGAACGATTCATCAAATTGAAGAAAAAAAAACAAAACACACCACAACCAAATAACCATCAATCACGACGAATATAATACCGTACATTCCCGGCATATTTGAAAAAATAAAACGTGTTGGTCAAAACTGAAAATACAATGAGATCCATTCTAACTAAAAAAAAAAAATTAAGGATCAAAATATTGTAATTATAGTATATATACCTTGGGTTTGTTGAAAGTATATTATACAGGTGAAACGAAGAGACCTCTCTCAGTAAGGACGACAGAACACAAGTACGATATCAAGAAAAGAAATTCCGATAAATCAAAGCTAACTGAATATATCCTTACTGAAAATGGACAACATATGACAAAAAAATAAAATCATTTTCCCCAGATGGCGCCCAGTCGCCATCTTGACATTTTCATCTGAAAATCTTACTTAAAAATATAGTATTCATGTATCAATTTCATCATCCCAAGTTTCAATATTTTCAGTCAACCAACAAAATAAAGGAGGGGCAATAAAGAGAAACACTGTATAGATGAAGACGAAGCACCGTAATTCGATATTTGATTCGGCATAGGTTATGTATAGGTCTGTATATTTCGAAATCTGTAAATTCCACTTTTTCAATTTGACGAGTAATTATACAGGGTCTCTATAAATGATCGTAACATCGTAGTGGCTGTTGACATTTTTTTCCATTTGCCGCTTTCTACTAATGCTGTTAACAACATTTAACGACCAAAAAGAGAGGAAGTGATCATATACAGGATCTTTTTTTATATCGTTTTGCATACACTATGGAAATGTATCTCAAAGAAAGGAGAGTCCAATATTGGAGTTTGAAAAATAATGGAACAAATCAAAAATATTTATTAAAGAAGTAATAAATAACGGTTTATTTCATTAACCTACATCAAATGTTCAAAATGTTCTCCGTTGTTCTCCAAGCATTTCAAAACTCTTCGCCGTTTGTTGTCGAAAATTTTCCTCAGCATTTTCGGGCCAGTATTTTGGCAGCAATGTGTTATTGAGGCTTGCAGCTCTTCAAGGTTATTATTGTCTCTCTTGAATACTTCGTCTTTTAAATATCCAAAAAGGCAGAAATCCAAAGCCGTCAAATCTGGAGAACGTGTTGGAGAAGAAGGAATAACTCCTCGACTTTATCACACCGTTGTCATAAAATTCTTGTAAATATTCTTATATTTTCAGGTGTGGTGTGGGCAGTGGCCCCATCTTGCTGAAAATAGCCAACTCGAATTTCTTCATCATTAAGTTGATTGATGAATGGTTCTAACATCACTTGTCTGTACCTTTCACCATTGATAGTGCCATCGAAGAAAATCGGTCCATATATTCGCCTACGAGAAACTGCTAACCACACCCCAATTTTTTGAGAAGGTAGTGGAGTCTCAATGAAATTGTGGGGATACTCAGATCTCCAAAACCTAAAATTTTGTGAGTTCACGTATCCCGACAAATGAAACCAAGCCTCATCGCTGAAAAATGTTAGGTCCAATAGCTGGTCATCGTTGAGATTATTTTGGAACCATTGGCAGTACTCCAGACGACGTGCATGGGATATCTATTGGCAGAAGTTGCTGTAGAACACTGGTCTTGTAAGGGTGCATATATGCAATCTTTTCTTGAGCACTTTATGGCATGTACTTAGTGGCACACCAGATTGTAAAGATAATCTCTTCAATGACGTTTGGGGATTTCGCTCAACACGCGCCCTTAGATTTTCGACAACTTCTTCCGATATTTTGGGTCTTCCTGTTGATTTCTTTTCATTAACGTCTCCAGTTAGGGTGCATTTGTTGATCACTGTTCTGATGTAGGCTTTCAAAGATAATTCTTGAATCTGTACATTAGGATATTTCGCCAGGTACTCATCCTTGCAAGATACTTCCACTCCATCCACCACATCATTGATGAATGTGCCATTTAGACAATAAGACATTACAATAGATGTATTCTGCTCCGAGGAATAAGCCATCCCTCTTTTCAACACGACAATCACGAAGTAGAAAACAGAATCGTTTGAAAATTTTAACGATAAAACTGACAATGGGCGTGTACACCTTGGTAGAACTTTTAACTCAAACCATGTTTATAATGATCCATTCATACATAAATAATGATTGACGACATAATTCGATCGAAAAATTTACTGGAATGTTCAATTTTTGGACATAAATAATAGTACCATCTGAAAACGGACCCTCTTATGACGTAGAAACTTCATCTCGCCATAGTTAAAAGAAAATACCAAACGCCGGACGGACACTGAGGCAACTGATATATTAATTCTTTCAACTGTGATCTCGCGCTAGTTCACTCTGCCAGAAATCATGTATCATTCATCTCTGTCTGGAATAGTCCTGTTTCAGTATTAGGGTTTTGACGTCACATCATCGCCTCGTTTTCAGAGGTCCGAAAAATCAGAGATTTCAATAATTTTTTATAAAACGTAGGGAGCTCACAGCGATAAACTGTTTGCTGTGGTGAGCTAGTTTGGGTGATAGTTCTATCGAATTATGGAATAGAATTTTTTTGTGATATAAGCCCATTGTGAGTTTATCAGCTATGACAGTATAATGATTGATGTCAGAAATTAAATTCGAATTCAACGGCTACTACGATGTTAGGATCATTTATAGAAACCCTGTACCAGGCCAATGATGACCTAGATCGTTTTCTAAAATTATCAGGCGAATGCTTATACTTCTTCAAGTGCCACCCTGCTTTGTACATATCTTCCTCTCTAACCCATTGGGGACATAAGAAACTATCAGCACCGGCTCTTGAAAGTGGACCATCTTGAATTCCCCGGTGAAAGTGGTGATGAAAAAAATGGTGGAAAACAACACGATGTACTCCACGATTACGCTGGTGAGGTGCATAAAATAACCTTTCTCATCTTTCGTCCATTTCATCATGTCCCCACCTGGAAATAATATTATCTATCGTTAATCTACACTAAGATTATAAAGAGGAAAGATTTGATCGTTTGTTTGTTTGTATGTATATATGATTGATGGAAAGGTAGCTTAGAACCAGGAGAGGGTTATAGGATACTTTTTATACCGGTACTTTTAGGGAATTCAAGATGGCGGATCTAATATATCGGAATAAGAGTTTTGTAATTGTGGTCCGATTCTATTCAAAATTGGTATCTGGGGGTTTTCGGGGTCGGAGATTATGATTCTTTCGTAAGAATTTGAAAATTCGGGCGGAATTTGGAAATTCAAGATGACGGAACCAATATGGCGGACGAGTTTTGTAATTATAATCCGATTTTTCCAATTTTGATTACCAATTTGATTCAAATTTCTTAGAACGTTGCATAGCAGCAAACTTTTTCTGCCTGGGCAGTAAAAGTACACCTTTTCTGCCTGTAAAGTGTCATTAAAAAGCCACTTTCAATTTCATTTGGAGAAAAAAATATTTTCTTCCCATATAAAAACAAACACAGTTGTATGATTATTGTTTTATGGTATTTTTATGGAAAAAAAAACAAGTTTTCACTCAGTCTCAGCATCGAACATCAACTTTCAGATAAGTTGATGTTCGATGGTCTGAGCTAGACATATTTTCATTATGATCTGAAAACTTCATTTGGAGGACTTATATTCTTTCACGAATTAGTAATTCATTTACCTTCAGATTCCATCAAAGATATTATTCCTGCTATATTACTAATTCCAAGACCTATCGAACTCATTAGAGCAAAAATCAATCTAATGATGTTGACTGCTTTACTTCCAAAGGTAGGATACATCCGGAATGATATGATTACCTGAAAAAATGATAGTACAATCACACAGTGTTCTCATTACAAATGGTGTATCTGAGTATATTTTTTATTTTTTACAGATGTGCCAAGGTAATAATTATCAACGAATGATGATGCTGGTGATCAGATAGAGCATTATACAGCGTGTCCTGTGATGAACACGTCAAAGTGAACGAGAGAACGAGAGAATGTAGATCAAAGGGTCTACCTGCTATGAAAAAATCGTCAGTGCATCACCATTTTCAATATCAAAAGAGATGGAAACATTTCTCATAGCCTTCTTCTAAACTGTTCGGAGTATTTTCAATATAGACGTGGCTTTCACGAGACACGCTGACATAATTAGTGCAATAGTGAATTTTCACGTTCTGAGATTTGAGATTTCATGTTTAGCAAAAATGTGATCATTTTGAAATATGTCATTAGCTATAGTCTTGATTGGGAGTTCTTTCTCTTACTTGAACTATTTGAAACACTATCAACAGTCCAAAACACATCATCGCTCCAAATATGTGTACTGGCAAAGCGTTAGTGACTTGGAAATTGGCTGTTATCAAACAGCCAAAGGTAGCTAACACCCCCATGTATAGACCGGAATTGTTCAGCCTACTCGTCACAACACCCAAATCTCTTTCCTCAACTAGGTTCTTCACCTGCCTGAATCTGATATACACCGTCATTATCACTGCAAAATACATCAACTTATTTCAAGTATTCAAATCATCTAATATTATCAAATTCTATTCAGAACGACGACATTTTTTTCAACAGAATGTAGTACTCATCGAAATAAACAAAATCATTAAAAATTGCCCATATAAAAGTTACAAAGCAATAAAGTCCAAGAACTCACTAATATAATTGGCCCTATATCACGACGGTCCTAGTATATTTATCATTTTGGGTGATACAGGCCTTTCCACATATCCTGCTCTTTGTTCTTTCAAACACCCTGTGTCACGACACCTTTGCAACAAATAAACGAACATTCGCGATTTCTTAACGGGAATATATGTATGTATACTCACAAACAGAATGCTGCTGCTGTACTTTGGCGACACTCATCATGAATCGAAGAATGTAAACAAGTTCCTTCTTCATTTTCGTTCAATATTTTCGTGAACGTGCTACATTGTTTGACAATAATGCACAGAAGATACCATTGCATAATTGGATCCGATGACTATAGAGCCAATAGACCAACGAAATAAGAAAACTGAGGAATTTCCCATTCCTATGCTGTCTATGTATCACGAAATGAAGCCGAGTCGGCCATCTTTTGATGACAGTGATGCTTGGTGATCTCGATTCAATAATTTGTTCAAGACATGGTGATGATGTGTTCAGCTTATAGATGTGGGAAATCAAGCAATGAGAGAAAACCTGGGAATATTTTCATACTTCATTGAGATATTGGTTATTGCGTTGTTATATGTATAAAAATAGGCATTTGCTAGATTCGCTTTTATATAGTATGTTATATAGGGTGATTTCTAAGTCGATATTTTTTTTTAACTGAGAGCACTTTAAAAAAACAACTTTTTCAAAAGACGAAACGAAACGTGGTCTGTCATATATAAGGTGTTCAAACTTCTCACAATTAACTTCGACTTCGAGAAATTGAACATAAACAGACGAGGTGAGAGAGCTGTTTATTTTAACGAGCTCTAGATACAGTTGAAAAAGTATCAACTTAGGAATCAACCTGTAGGAAAGCTTGCAAAATAATAAGGGCTAACATTATTTCATTGTCCACCAGATTGCGCTACTGAGACGTGGGGTCTACAGTGACTCTAAACAGAGTGACGAAAATAATGGGACACTTTTTGATGGTCAGATCTTTGATATGGAGGTGCATTCTATTTCACTTTGTCAATGCTTTGTCTCTGTTTTTTGCTGTTTGGACACAAAACATTCAACAATCAGACATGAAACTCTATACGACAGTACCTTGGATACTAACTTTCAGAATCCGTCTTTCGTATTTTGGGACTCAGTCTCAGATTATTTAGATGATAAAATGAAAATATCAGATATCTAAACCTTACATCAGGTGGGCACTTCGAGAGCGCAAATTCATTACTGCATGGATTTTCAGCTGTTCAGTGAGTTGACCACGAATGTTGTTGAAATATTACTCTGCTTAGTGGGCTGCGCATGCGGAAGTCTCAGAGTAAAGTGGTATCGGTGTTGCTAGCCGCTAGTGGGACACAGGCATGGACGTACAGGGGATCAGTCAGGTTCAGGTATACGAACAGAGATTCGTGCCGCCAGGACCGTAATGAAATTCTTTCAGAATGTATGACATTTTCAATTGAGGATAGGTATCTCCGTTGTTCTGCAACTTTTATTGAGGCGATATTCAGTGCATGGATCTGTATATTTCGATGATTTCTATATCCTCTTGAAAAAAATGCTTCACCTTCAAGAACAGCCGTCTGTGTTTTGGTATTTCTCTCGAAAAAAGAATCTAGAGAAATATCTATGTGTACATCACTGAAGATATCAACAATATTCGAAATTGTTGGAATATCAATATTCATTGGGTTCAGTAGGAACGAATATTCAAATTTTGTCTTACTTAAAACTCCAGCTATAGTAAGCGCCACCCCAAATATGCTACTTTCTGGTGCCCGACCACCAGTGTCACTTATGTAAGGAAGGATTGGTTTGACATGGTCTTTCAGAACTGCTATCACATATCTGAAAACATAAATGAGAAAATTCCACCCATATCACCTGAATTTTATAATTTTTTTTAATCATCCATAAAATAATTCCAGATGTATTTCACGTGCAATGTTCTGTACTCATCATTTTCAACTATTTCGGAAATATCGAGTGTTTTCAGATCTATTGCGAATGATTCTTCTCTTACTGCATGCCAGAGTATAGTATAGTTATCATAAGTAATATCACGATGTTCTGAATATTCGAGATAATTTTGTCATTGTTCACGAAATTGTATTACCGAGTACTATACTAGACCTACTGCCATATAGTACAGGGTGATTCACCATAAATATCCCCCCCTCTAGCTCAGTTATTTTTGAACCGATTTCAAAATTTAAAATATCATCTTGAATGATTCTCGATACAGTTCTTCTCGCTACATCAGAAAATACAGTGTGCTCGGAACAAACGATCTACAGGGTACTATTTGATTTTTTTTATATGGAACACCCTATTTTTCATGTATTTTCAGATTCTCCCTGAAGAGCTGATTTGGTGAATGCGGGAATGATTACAGAGATATAGGGTGTTCAAAATCGAGCTTTTTCAACTTTAGAATTGTTTTGAGACGAAACTATTCATCATCGGTCAAATCGGCTTTCATGTCCATATCTTAACTTTTGATTTACTATCTACTGACATTTAATAATTGGAACAGATACAGCTGGGTGATCAGAGTTCTGAATCTTGAACCACCCTGTAAATGTTCCAATTGAATGTCAGTAGACAGTAAATCAAAAGTATGGAAACATAGGAGCCGTTTCGACCAATAATGAATAGTTTCGGGACAAAAAAATTCTAAACTTGAAAAATCTCGATTTTGAACACCCTATATATCTCTGTAATCATTCCCGCTAGATCCCAAGTGTGATGCATTGATATGAAATCAGCTCCAAACTGCATTCATTAAGTAATTGTTCGAATTCATTTCGAATTTTGTTTCGTCCATTTTTTACGGTTGTACATATCGGAATCGTATTTATCGAAATTCTACGAACAAAATATTTCATAATATCTTCGTCGATTGCTTGGAATTCATTGATTATTTTCCGACTTTCATCACCGTATGCAAATATTCTAAACACTTCCGACATGTATGCATTTTGTTTTTTGTGATTATTTATACAATACCTTCCACATAATTCAATTGCATACATTAAATAATCTTTCCGAGTGATCACAAAAAAGTGCATGTTTAAAATATACCTACACAACGCATGTGTATGCAAAGTTCTTCATCGTGATACAACTAACTCAAAATATAAGTCTGCGAAAAAGCATACGTTGAAATCGTTAAATAATTGTTCAACGATCTTCATTACATGTTCAGTTGATAATTTTGGGACTTCCTACACGAGTGCACACTATGCATATTTTTCCGCGGTATAATTTTTTTCAAATTACAACAAGAACCAATTTGCTTGCATCGAATAATAAATAGTTCGAAATCATCAATTTTCACTGCAAATTAAAATTTTATTGGCGAGTGAACTAAGTTTTTATTTCTTAAATGGAATCATCACTCGAATACCTTTCAATTCCATATTTTTTCAGAATTATTTAGTCAATTCAAAGGTGTCAAAATCATCTATAATGTCACGGCTAGAAATTTATCGCCAGTAAAAAGTGACGTCACAATTTAGTAGGTAGGGGCAGACCATAGCACATTTGCCATATGTTGAAATGCGATTGGGAACTTCAGAAATATTCATAATTCAATAATCCATGAATTCTCAATTATGTATTTGTAATATTCCTAATTAGCATTAAAATATCAATTGTCTCAAAATGTTCTCATATGTGTTGTGGTTTATTGGTTATGAAACATTCAGCTGAAAACACTTGATATTTTCGAAACAGTTGAGGATGGGTATATTGTACTTACATGAAATACGTCCAGATTTTAATGAATAATTCAAAAATTTTATGAAGTGAAGTGTGTTGCATTTGAAATGGAAAATTTTTGTTTTATGTACAGTGTGATTCATGAAGTTGTCATCATATGGGAAAAACCTCGGGAAAAACTTTATTTCGTTTAATTGTAACTTCGACAAAACTGTCCTAAACTTTGATTGGATACGTAAAGTAGTTTGATGATATTTTGATTGATAACTTTGGCATAATTTTGGTACTGAAAAAATCAATTCAAATAAATTAAAAAATTCAAATATAAAAGAAATTTGAAGCGGAGATTATTATATTCTGGAGAAATAGTAAATTGTTTAACGACCAAGATAATTTTCTACGGCTGTAATAAAGATAACGGAGAAATTGTTCATTTCTTGGTCTTGTAGCCATCTGATTTCTTTTCAATTAATGCCCATCTATTTGACAGAGCTTCATTCCTTGAAATTTGACATTCCATGTACGATGAGTTTTTTTTTGGAACACAATGGAGTCATTGTGATATCAGATACGGAAATGAAATTGATGACATATACAAAGTACCTCATTGATGTATCTGACACAGTAAAACGAGGGCAATTTTGTGTTATATAGCCGTAAAAGAACCATGTTTCTGTCGATAATTAGTTATTGAGAGTTAGTAGCATGATGATGCTATCAGAATGGAATAGTTTTGTTGGTGTTAATTTTTTTATTACCTAGCACATTTCGCAGGAATTGAAAAAATTATCAAGACCTAAAAGTTGCAATAGAACGTTCAAATTCGAGACATATACATGTAAAATTGGAATACAAACAACTTTTTGCAGTAAACTTTCTTGAAACTCAAACAAAAATAAGCCAACTTTTAGCGGTTAATTTGGAAAAATTGAACTTTTGACATGTAGCGAAAGTCACATGACCCCCGAGTAGTCCATCTTGTATATTTATTCCATTTGACTGGTAGGTACACTTCCATTTGGCTGGTACACACTGTTTATGTATACAGCACTGTTTGAGATTTTGTTTTTCGATCTCGATCCAGAAAATTCATGATACTTCTTGACTGCTCAAGATCAATATATTGAAGAGACCTAACTTACGTTATGATGAATGTGATCGGGAGCCACAATCCAAAGATAACTGGTATCAAATAGGCCTTCGTTAATATCATTTCTTCTGCTTCTCTACTTCTCATCGATGTTTTGGAGGCTCCACTAGTCAATGTTCACCAGGAATTATTTATTCATAATCTATTTACAGATTAATACAGTGGTCAGTGGTGATAGTTAGACGTTCTTGAGGCTTCCTATTTTCGGTTTATTTTTACCAATTGGCAATTATAGTCAGACCATCGAACATCAACTTTCAGACAAGAAGGCTTACCACCGGCGTCGCGAATACCATGCATTTACACCGATTGGCACGCAAAAGCCTCGAGAGCGGCGAATGGCGGCGATTATATCAAGTATACCGATTGTCCCGTCACGTAGGTCTCGGTTCCCTTTTTAATTGCAATAGAAAAATAACACGGCGCCCCATCAGACGGCAACATGTAGTGGTCGACGGAGTTTCATCTGACTCTCTCATCATAAGGGTTGGTGTTCCGCAAGGATCAATTCTAGCACCAACACTATTTCTACTCCATATCGACGATTTGTTGGAAGCAACTTCATGTCCAGTACACAGCTTCGCGGATGATAGTACCCTCCATACCGCCTTCTCTTCCAGGGCTCCAATACCAGCCAGGCAAATCAGAAACGAACGAGAGAGAAATGTTGACAACATAAATATGAACTTGGCAACAATTCTCGAAAGGGGATACAAAAATTTGGTAGATTTCAATGCTAAAAAAACACAAGCATGCCTTTTCTCTTGAAAAGCCGATCTCACTGTGCCCAACATAAGCATGTCAAGAGTAACCATACCTTTGAAGACATCCATTTTGATGCTTGGTATCACTATCAACAATAACCTTTCTTGGGAAATCACGTGAGATCAATTGCTAAAAGTGCATCCCAAAAACTTGGTTTTCTGTTTCGGGCCAGGAGCTATTTAACTTCCAGTCAGCTGCTTATGATCTATAAGGTACAAATCCGATCTGTTCTGGAATACTGTTCCCATATGCGGTACCCAAATCATATACCCTGAAACTGTTGGATCCTGTCCAGAAAAGGGCAATAATTCGTGGGTGGTGCCTCGCTCATACAAAGTCATTCGATTCTCTGGAACACCGTAGAAAAGTTGGCGATCTGGCTCCATTTTATAGATATTTTAATGGACGATACTCTTCTGAAATATCAACAATTATTGTTCCTCCCTTGGCAGTCCCCGCGAGATTGAACCGTCGAGTTGAGGCTTCGCCTTCGTATGGTCATCCAACGAACAGCGAGGCTCTGGAACACATTGCCTAGGGAGGTGTTTCCCAAGGCATATATAACCTCCAGAAATTTAAGAAGAACACCAATTCCTACCTCATTTCCCTTGGTACTCACGATACCCCTTTTCGTCTGAACCAGAACATAAAAAAATTATAAATCAACATGGATATCTATATAATCAAATGCGAATGAAAGATTAAGCCATCCCAAAATACGTCGACCAGATCCAGACGAACCTCAACCGGGACCTTCCAAGAGGGCTAAATTAATCTAATTTTTCGATCTTTATGATTACTCTATTTCCTAACAAATAAACTCATTAACTGTTGTTGTACTTATCTTTTTTATGTCATTATTCGTAGCTCAGCTTGATCATCCTCGTTCACACTCCTCATTTTCTTTACTATCATCCCAGACAGCACTGGATATTCATAGAATATTCTCTAAATATGCTGAAAAGGAGGAGTATATTCCGAATATTCATCGATTATTCCTAGAATATATACATGCCTCTAACATCTAAAAGGAATATTCCAAAGTGAATAGTCGGACATGTTCAGGGAATATTCAGGTATGAATCTTCCAGGAATATTCCCAACTGAATATTCTCTGTTGTATATTCATGAAATATACCCAACTGAATATTCTGTGGGGTATATTCATGAAATATACCCAACTGAATATTCTGTGCGGTATATTCATGAAATATTCTCAACTGAATATTCTGTGGTGTATATTCATGAAATATTCCATGAATATTCCTATGTTCCTCAACACATAAATAACATTAATTATTTCAGAGATGTGAGTATCGAACATCAATTAGATGTAAGGGGATTTTGAAACAAAAATTGTTTATGATCCGATTTCGAACAATGCTCTCACAAGAACTTGATATGTATATCATTATTCAATTCGGTTACTGGCCTAGTGGTCAAGGCGTTGCTCTGATAGTCTTGAGGTCACGAGTTCGATCCCTACTTGGGTCCCTTTTTTTAATTTTAGAATATGTTTATTGGAATATTCCAGGAACATTCAACATAGAATATTCTTTTGGGTATATTCTATGATTATCTGAGGAATTCCCATTCGCATATTTAAAGAATATTCCACAGATATTCCGGAATATTCCAGATTATTTATAGAATATTCCAATATTCCAAAAGGAATATGATAGGGAGATTCATGGAATATCTGGTGCTGTCTGGGATCTCATCATGAAAGTACAGGGCTTCGATTGTATAATCAGATTCAAAATTCAATCAGAACGACAGGATAGCAAAAAAATGCGGAATTCGAAAAAAATGATAGAATTTGAAAGGCTCAATCTCGGAAACTAATGAGTCTATAGGGACAGTTTTTATATCATATTTCAGCAAATTCGATCTACTTCAAAAACGTTCTGAAAGAGTTTTTTTCAAAAACTTGTCCTTTAGGGTTATAATCGCCAAACAACTTGAAAAAAAAACGATTTTTTCGCAGTTTTTTCGATTTTTGACAAAGTTGCGTTTGGCGCTCAAGGTCACGAACTTGGACTATTCATTAGGTCAACATCATGAACAAGTCTGCAAAAAATCAGAACTACCGGATTTGACGCATATATACTGATGTGATGTATAAAGTTACTGGATTATTATTATGCTTTATGAAATAGTCTAGCAAACTATCACCGTTGATTGATATATTACGCTTACGCTGGGCTATCACTCTATTCTAAATATATTTTGTATTTAATTATATACTCCAATTGTGTTGCAGTATAGCAATACCACTCCTCCTGACGGACTCCTCTGGTGTTGCTCGGCATCAGAATAATAAGAATATTATTTCGAATATTCAGAACATCGTGATATTATTGTTGATAATTGGCAATCAATACAATTCAAATTGGTAGATTGTAGAAACAAATAGCAGAAGCAGAAAAATTCCATGAGTTATTTGGAAAACATACAAAAATCAAGCTAAAAATCTCTACCAGATTCTCGAAAAAAATTAGAATGAGAAATTATATGTATTTGCTTCATAGAAGCATATAGAAGTTTATCATACTGATGATACAAATTATGAGTCGTTAGTTTTTTTCAAGTAGAAAAGTTCCTATCAACGTATTTCATAAAATGCATCCTGTTTGAGCTACAGGGTGTAGGAAGTACGAAAAAAATTAGAATTAGAAATTTGTTCACAGAAAATACCTGTGGTGAAAAAATCGAAAATTGGTCAAAGTATCCTTCTTAATTCAAAATGTTCCCCGTTTATTTCAGATTAATCGAAAGAATATTCTGAATGTAACAAGAAATAATTCTTCGATGTAATTCAAACATTGAAAAATATCATTATGAATATAAGCAGTAAATTTGAATTCACGGTAAAACCGATTGAATGGCTCACGGTCATATGACAAAATTATGTCACTAAAAAAATTCTCAGAAGATTCAAGTCGTGACTCTAAAGTCAATATATAATGTCTCAGAAGTCATGAAAGTCAACGTGTCTGAACATTTTTTCATAAGATCAGTGATCAAAGAGGTCGTTCCGTTTCCAGTTCGGATGAATCTGTTGATCATTGTTCTGATGTGGGCTTTCAAAGAAGATTCTTGAATCTGTACATTAGGATATTTCGCCAGATATACTCATCCTGGCAGACTACCATCGAGAAACCCCATCTACCATTAATGAATGTGCCATTTCGAAAATATAAGCCATCCCTCTTTTCAAAAAAACAATCACGGAGTAGGAAACAGATTCATTTGAAAATTTTGAAGAAAAACTGACAATTATTGTGAGATTATCAGCTATGACAGTATAATGATTGATATCAGGAATGAAATACGAATAGGTGATTCACCATAAATGAAATGCGTCAAGTATGTACAGAAAATATTTCAACGGCTACTACGATGCGGTATGATCACTCACACAGCTGTATAACGTTGCCAATTTTCAAATCATAGTGACTATACAAGAAAATCAACTACCTTCTTTTGACGAAACATTGTCGATCTAAATGAAAACTTATTAGGCGACCTATAGTGCGACGAGGAACAAATTGTACAATATTATATTATTAAATCTCCTGCCTATACTATAACTACCTAAATGGGTGGTCATTTAAAACGACAATGGACGAAACATTGTCATAGAGGCGCGTAATATAGGAAGATGTTTAACAACTAGGTTCTTCAATTTTTGTGTTTTTTTTTTTCATATCCACTACGATACGATTTATTGCATTGTTCTAGATGTAGGTAACAATGTTTTTAAATCGATATTACTCGAAAAGGATACATCTGATCGATACAAAATGAGATCACCTTTTTTCTGTAAAGAGGTGTAGATATTCATAATCCGCAAGGTGAAGTTTCAGAAAAATATGCATAAAAAAGAGTTAGATAATATTTAATGTAATTCCACCCTGTATTATACGCTGATGAATGAAATTTTGGAATACTTCCATTTTCACTGCATTGAGCTCAAGAGTTACTGAATGTTCTTGACACTGCTCTTTTGACGTTTTTTGTGATATACAAAAAAACGTCAAAACAGCCCAGACAGCACCAGATATTCCATGAATCTCCCTATCATATTCCTTTTGGAATATTGGAATATTCTAGAAATAATCTGGAATATTCCGGAATATCTGTGGAATATTCTCTAAATATGCGAATGGGAATTCCTCAGATATTCATAGAATATATCCAAAAGAATATTTCATGTTGAATATTCCTGGAATATTCCAATAAACATATTCTGAAATAAAAAAAAGTGATCCTAGTAGGGATCGAACTCGTGACCTCAAAACTATCAGACCAACGCCTTGACCACTAGGGCAGTAATCGAATTGAATGATGTTGTACATATCAATTTCTTGTGAGAGCGTTGTTCGAAATCGGATCATAAACACTTTTTGTTTGAAAATCCCCTTACATCTAATTTTGATGTTCGATACTCACAACTCTGAAATAATGATGGGTATTTATGTGTTGAGAAACATATAGGAATATTCATGGAATATTTCATGAATATACACCACAGAATATTCAGTTGAGAATATTTCATGAATATACCGCACAGAATATTCAGTTGAGAATATTTCATGAATATACCCCACAGAACATTCAGTTGGGAATATTTCATGAATATACAAGAGAGAATATTCATTTGGGAATATTCCTGGAAAATTCATACCTGAATATTCCCTGAACATCACTTTGGAATATTCCTTCTAGATGTTCCAGAGGCATGTATATATTCTAGGAATAATCGATGAATATTCGGAATATACTCCTCCTTTTTAGCATATTTAGAGAATATTCTAGGAATATCCAGTGCTGTCTGGGAGCAGTGTCAAGTACATTTAGGAACTCTACATTGAGCAATATACAATATAAATATAGTACCTATAGTCGTGGACAAAATTATATACAGGGGCAGGAGCCCTATGTAAGCATTAAACTGTGTTATTACTGTTATTGAATGTTAGATTCAAAGTTTTGGCGAACACGCCAGGACACATCTAATAGATTATAGTGCTCTTACTATAACATGCTATAACCATGACTGGGAATGGTTTTCATGATGTCGCCTTATTGTTAAAAATGGATGTCAGGATATGTATGGATACAATTATGGAAATAAGTTTTCCATCATTATTACTATAAAATTAAAATATTGAAAAAATCGACAGAAAACTAAATCTCTTCTACGATCCCAAGATGAGCGCGCCAAAGCGAAGGTGAAGATTCGAACTTTTTAGTACAGAAAATCTCAATAAATAGTTAGTTTTTATCACATATTCCACCCATTGTACAATCCATACTCCAGTCACCCCTACCCTCAGTAACAGTAGAACAGTACAATCCATAGTACAATCCAAGGCTAGTACTCTAGTACAATCTCTGTTAGTGCCACTCGTTCCACTTCTCATTTTTGCCTGTTTGTAGTGTTTGTCCATAAGGTCCATGTTTGCACGATTGATAGCTGTATAATCTTTTTGGGACATTCTCTTAATAAATAAGAAGTCTTTATTCTTCGCTTTCTAACTAACTAACCTACAATTTGTTCTTATCAATGTCAAACACTTGCGCACTAGCAGTCAAAGCCCATAAAAGCTGACAATGACAAAAGTCAAGAGAAAGGTGAAAGGAAGTTTAAACTAGTAAATTGACAATATATTGTTATTATCCAATAATAATTATATTTCAAGACAGTATCAATATTTTGATATAAATATTCTTAATTCTAGAAATAATTCAGTATTCATAGATTTTGCTACTTATGCGACTATGTCCGAAACATTTTTTTGCAGGTTATGTTTGGTATCAACGGAAAATTATCAACTCCTAGATGGTGAACTTATTGATATTGTCGATGACTTATTACTACAAAATAAGGTGAGTTTCGTTTAGTTTCAGGTATCCACATGAACTGGATTCATATAGCCTTTGATACTATAATGATATTGACTTCAGACTGGCCCAAGGCCCAAATCATATAAATACCTAGGTGTATTTATTATATTTATATTACCATTATGTATTCTACTAGTTTCAACTCATTTATTGCAAAAAATTTAGATCACTTGAGGCATGAGTTGGCTTGCAATTTACAAAAATATTGGCACATAAATCCACCCCTAGATGCTCATTGCATTATCTACCTTTATTAATTACTCCCTATATTATTTATATCATTTTATATTCTGACCATGATGCTGACATCAGCATTTTTGTTTTTTCAGTCTATGAAAAGTACAGTACACATTGTATGTGTCAACTGTGTTACAAAAATCCATAAAGCATTTGAATTCAAATCAACATGTATGAATACCAAAGTGACATTATCACATTATGTGGGCCCACAAGAAAATGCAAAATTAGATCTAAAAATGATATACTTAGTAGAAAAAGAACCTGGCAAGGAAATTTATTCTTATGAGGAAATGAAGATTTGTAGAACCTGTTTGAATATGATAGAAAGTGGACTTTATGCATGCCTTTTGGATTCTATAAAATTTAATGGCCTAGAAGACATTTTCAAATTATATATTCCGGATTTGGTAAATATAATGAGATATTTATTATTTTGTTGAACATCAACAAACTTGTAGATTATGAAATAGTATTAGTTCTCAAGGTTTCTTCATCAATTCCAAAATATGTTCTAATTTCAATTTGTAGATGTTGACCCTGACTGAATCACCCCTAATCTGTGAAAAATGTATCAACAATTTCCGGTGTTTTTCTGAAGTAATTTCAACATTTTTGAATACTGAAAATAGAATCAAGGGTGTTGTTGAACAAACCAGACAAGATGGAAGCAATAAATTGGAACTTGGTGAAATCCTGGTTCCCTCAGAAGGTAGATAATTGAGTTGACAATAATATCCTAATTTTTTGAATTATTACCTATATCCAAATAATCAACACCTCCTTCACAGGTATTGAGAATGATGCTTGTTCTACTTTTGAAGAAGATAATATGAAACTTTTTGAATTTAAACATCTTCCACTGGATTCCTATAGTAACAGTAATAAGATATTGACAGATGAAGAAAATGAAGAAAGAATCATGAAGATGATTATCAAAGAAGACACTGATCTCTTCTACAGGGAGCAGCCAGATTATGATTCAGAAAATGATACATTGAGTGTCAATGACAGGTATATCTTCACAAAATATTCCCATGAATTCAATCACAGAATCTATTATTGATTTATTGATTTCTACTATGAAAAAAACTTTTGTTAATCTGTGCCTCCCTGGACACCTCACTCTCATTATGATGTAGAACACAAGATAGTGATTACCCAGATAGCACAAATTCCTTTTGAGGCCCTTCTGAGGCGTTCACAATCATGTCCTCAGGACGTCGAGAGCGAGCCTGAGGACATTCTCAAGACGTCCTCCTGTTACCATTCTCTACATACTAATAACGTCTCAGAACATCCCTATAAAATCTTTTGAGACAACCTCAGGACATCATGGTAACAACTTGAGGCGGTTTTTGATGATGTTTCAAGGAGGTTCAAGATTTATGGGAGAATATTATTCATATACAGAATGAGTCACTATAGTGTGTTCTCCTCCGATATTAGCCAAACCGTCAGATATATAAAATGAAAATTCAAGTACAACAGTAATAGGGTTTCATAAGAACAATCACCTAAAGTTGTTTTCATATCTATAGGGTGTTTGAATTCCAAGATATCGGTTGATGATTGGTTTTTTTCAATGGAACACCTTGTATATTATTGCATTTTTGAGTTTTCCCTGAAGAGTTGATTCCATCAATGCATCACACTTATTGGTGTCTAGTGGGAATTATTACAGAGATATAGGGTGTTGACAATTGAGATTCTTCAAATGTATAGGATTTTTTGTGTCGAAACTATTCATTAATGGTCAAAACGGCTCACATGTCCCTGTCATAACTTTTGATTAGCTATCTACTGATATTTATTTGGAACAGATACAATAAGCTGATCAGTATTCTGAATGTTAACCCACCCTCTATTCGTTCCGATTGAATGTCAGTAGATAGTAAATCGAAAGTTTATAAGGATATGTGAGCCGTTTTGACCAATATTGAATAGTTTCCACAAAAAAATCCTAAAATAGAAAAATCTTGTTTTTGAACACCCTATATCTCTGTAATCATTCCCGCTAGACCCCAAGTGTGATACATTGATGGAATCAGCTCTTCAGGAAGAACCTAAAAATGCAATAGTATACAGGGTGTCCCATTTGGAAAGAAACAATCATCAGTCAATATATCTTGGAATTCGAACACCCTACAGATATATATGAAAACAATTTAATGTGAAAGTTCTCATGAAACCCTATCACTGTTGTACTTGAATTGTCTCTATTTATCTGATGGTTTGGCTAATATACAAGGATAACACACTATTGACTCACCTTGTATTATGCAAATGATAATTTCTTCTAAATAATATGGATCTCATGATATTTGCAAAATTTCCCTCAATTTATAATAGGTTCAAATGAAAAACCAAATGAAAAACTTACATTCTATTATTTATAACTTATTCTGAAAAATTTCAATTTCCTTTTCAGAGAATGTTTTTCAGCTTCTTGTTGAGCACTACTAGAAGTTATTGCCTATTGATAGTTATGTTGTTTTTGATTTCTGAACTCTGGACATTCCTGATGCAGAATAATCAACTGGAAGTTGAAGCCTTCATGCAATATTTTATATAGATTCTGAAGAAGCAAAACTATCTTGGAATGAAAATATCATCAGGTTTGTGTTTTGCATAACCTTCTGGAACAAACAATGTATTAATATTTCATGTCCAGTACTTACTATCAATGATATGATTTATGTAGTTATAGGTACCAACCATTATTGAATCTACTGAAAGTTCAAGTCTGCATATGTACAATCTCTCATAATTTCCAAAGAAGCCAAAATATCTTGGAATAAAATATCTCTGCTCTGATGATATCATCATTTTGTGTTATCAATAACCTCCTGAAACAAATAATGTACCTATTAATATTTCATGTTCCAGTCCCTACTACTTATATCAATGATTTGATTTAGGTACCTACCTTCATTGAATATACTGAAAGTGCAAACATGCATACGAAATCTCACATAGATTTCGAAGAAGCCAAAATATCTTGGAATGAAACATCTCTGCTCTGATGACATCATCAATCTTGTGTTCTCAATAACTTCATCTGAAACAAATAATTAACCTATTAACATTTCATGTCTAGTACCTACTATATCAATGATTTGAATCAGGTACCTACCTTTATTGAATTCATACTGAAAGTTCAAGCTTCCATACAATATTTCATAGATTCCGAAGAAGCAAAGCTATCTTGGAATAAAACATGTTTGCTATGATGATATCATCAAGTTTGTGTTCTCAATAACCTCCTGAAACAATAAATAATGTATATGAATGTATCAATATTTCATGTCCGGTACTATCAATGATTCTATTCAGTATTTACTCACCATTGTTTCTTGCTACCTGAGAGAAATGTCATCAACAGAGATTATCATCCTTTTGTTATTGTTATCTCTTAATTCTGTGCAATAAGTTCTTCTCGCAATCATTTTGTGAAATAGAAATTTGATGAAGGTATTCAATGAATACTCTAATAATTTTGATATAATCATTAATATATTATGATGTATCTTGAACAAATCATGACTATCATGAGACATAACCTCAATTCTAGTTCTTCTTTTTCTTCCTTTTGTCTTCTATGACACGTTATTTCATGGAATGTCATCTGAAGACGTCCGTAGGCACGAAATTCTTTACATCCTCAGGCTGTCACTGAAAGAACTCATTTAGGACAATTACAGCGCTAAATTTACGCCTGATGATGTTCTTAGGTTGTAGAAAATAGAACGTCCTCTCTAGGCGTTTGGCGACACATTGAGGATGACCTTAGGCGAGTGTGTGCTATCTGGGTAGGTTCATAGTAAATATATTTTTGATACAAAATCAAATTCAGCTATATCAACTGAACAGAAATATTCTGAAATTTCAATAGAATAGCTAAAATCAATACTATTTTTCACAGTGACCAACAGAATATTCTAGAAATGGAATTCATCAATTCAAGAAATATCACAAATCACCACTATACTGATTACAAAATTTTTGGAATTGAGGAAATTCACAGAAATACTCAGGGAAATTCTGATAATAACTCTTCCCATCCCTCAAGTCCAGAAGAGGCAACATCAAACATAAAATCAAACCCTAAGAAAAAGAGACCAAAAAAATTGTTTGAAAGTAGAAAAAAGAAAAAAAAGGAGCCTTCAAGTAACCAGAATAAGGAAAAACAGTATCATAAAAAGCCTGTTTATGAAATAGAGATGGGTAAACCTTCCTCCAATGAAGAATTGGAAAAAATTCCAAAAAAATGTAGAAGAGAGTATGGGCTGAATTTCAAAGAATTTTGGTGCAGCCAGTGTAGGTGGAAAAAAGCTTGCACAAGGCAGACCTAGAGGATATGTCACCCAATTTGTGATATTTGTGGTATTTTAGAAATTTGAATGAGGGGAGTTTATTGAGCAATCCTCCTGGTCCTAGTTGGATTATCACTTTAGTACCAACATAATTTTTTACACTAATCAATATTCATAATTATTGTTATGTATAGGTATGATCTAGATCAAAGTGTAATTTTCAATATGATTCTTTGTAAATATTTGAGGGAAAATGCTGATATCAAAATTACCTCAACTTCATGAAGATAATATGATTTATGTGACATTGCAGATTGTTTCCATTTATTTTAATCAATTACAATAAAACATGAAATTATTATTTTAATTTCCATTTGTTTTCTTGGTATGAATTGATTTTTGAATAAATTGACATTAAAATTTTGCGTTATTCGCGAGATTCACGAAGTGGGCGACATCTAGGTTAGATAATACGAACCTCAAACTGGGGGAAAACAAACTATTGTCTATGGATGAAGTGCATAGACTACATTGCATACATCTTGCTGTAGCTGTATATAGTTGTCAAACTTGTCAATGACATAAAGTGTTATCAGTCACAGTACACAAGCTAATGGGATTGAGTGAGGATTGAGTTTGTTTTCCCCCAGTTTTGACGTGGCTTTGACATGGAACGATGAAAACCGAGCGTCACCTTGTGACATTGATTCCCGCGAATAGCAATCTTTATGGAAATGAATTGATTGCAACAAGGATGCAACAATAATTCAACATCTGAATATGCTATAATTAATTCATGTTTCAAAAAGAGTTGTCTTAATTTACGTTGGAATTTTGTCCGGTTGAGTCAAGAGAGTTTTTCCATTCCAATTTTATGGTTTAATGAAGAAGATAAGAAGAAGAAGAAGACTTTTCTTTTTTTGCGGCTGAGAAGTGGGGTTAAGCGTCATATTTTTAGAAATAATATTGTGTAAATATTCCTAAAACATTCTAGAAACAAGTCGAACTGTAACAACTACCAAAGTAGCATAATAGCCAAAAAGTATTTTGGTGTTATGCATTAGGATTATCAGGAACAACCCACGGAGAGCGACAATCATGTCCGAAAAGATGTTTTGTAGGTTATGTTTGATATCAACCGATGAATACAAGCCCTTGGAAGGTGTACTTAATGAAATGGTTAATGTATTACTTCAGAATACGGTGAGTTCAGATTATTTAAATGGTTCTTAGGTGCACTATATTTGTGGACAATCATTCAGAGCACTAGCATCATATCAAATCAATTAACCTTCATACTCCTTGATTACCTTCAAGGTCCTTTGTTGAAGAATGCCAATGGTGAATGAATGATGAATTTATGTTTCTATTGTATATTGTATGTGAGTAGTTTCCAGACATTCATGACTGGGACATGGACAGCAAATTGTTTTGTTTTTTGAATGGGTATCAATAATAATAATATCTTCTCCATAATTATATAGTTACCTACAAGGAAAAGTTGTATTATCCTGACAATTTTGAGGATGGACATTTTTGAGGGAGTTTGTTGATATGAATGTTATTCTAGGATCTTATGAGAAATATACTTAATTTAACCATTTAATTTTTTTTTCAGTCTCTCAAAGCTACAGAGAGTCCCATAATTTGTGATAGTTGTATAACTAAAATACACAAAGCATTTGAATTCAAATTAACATGTGTAAACACTGAAGTGAAACTATCACATTATGTTAGCTCACAGGAAAATGCAAAATTAGATCTTCGGATGGTTTACTTGGTAGAGAAAAAACCTGGAAAAGAGGTTCATTTTCATGAAAATATGAAGATTTGTAGAATATGTTTGGATATGATAGAAAGTGGGCATTGTGCCTCTCTTCTAGATACTGTAGAAATCAATAAATTGGAAGACATGTTCAAGATATATATTCCTGAATTGGTAAATATATTATAATTTCGAGTTATAATTCTACTTTACAAATATTCTTATGAATATTTTTCACTTTTTTTCAGACACTAATGATGACTGAATCACCCTTGCTCTGTGAAAAATGCATTGAACCTTTCAAATGCTTTGCTGAATTTATTTCCATGTCATTAGAAACTGAAAATAAAATAAAGAGTTTTTGTGATCAAATTGATCATGGAGAAAACAATCAATTGGATCTAGAAAAAATAATGGCACCACCAAAAGAAGGTAATACATTTTGCTTGTACTATGGCTGCTTCTAATATAACCTTTTTTTTTATAGAAATTGAAGAAGAACATAAAAATAATGTAGATACTGAAGAATCAAAAATCATGAAACTTTTCAGAGATGAGCATATATTACTGGATTTTTATAACAACAGTGAAACAGAGTTAGAAGTAGAAGAAAATGAGAGAAAAATTATGAAGATGATTTATGAAGAAGATATTGATCTTTTTTATAAGGACAGACCAAACTTTGATTCCATTGATGATGAATTTGAAGACAGTGGAAATGACAGGTATAGTTCTGAAGAATTATAACAAGTTTCACCTAACCAACAAGTTACTGAATTTATAGTATAGTGAACTACTCTGTAAACTATTTTCTACTTATTTTTCATTTTTTCATGATATTTATGTTTTCTTTTTTATTATTCAATGCAAAATTCTGAATGGTGTAAAAGATTCCTAGTTGGTTTATTTGCAACTGGTTAATCTTTTATTCATACATGTGTTGGATTTGTTCCAGTGTTTGAGACAAAAGCATTATTCATTCACATCAAAGGAGATTCAGTGTGAATTAAAATGTGAAATGAATAAAATGTACCTCAACTAACACAGGATCAAATTTAAAGGAAATATCACAGTAAAAAAAAACTACCTAGTGTGATAGGAACACATTACATGTACATACAACAACAGAATATACAGACAGAATCATATTATAAGTTATTTTTTATAGAATTCTTTGTCACACAATAGATCAAAAACAAATTTTTAAAAAATGTCTTTTTTGATACAGTCAACTCTGATCTTCTAGGGTATATGGTTATAAAATTTAATGGCTGCAAAGTTCTGTCCTTTCTCAGTATTTTTCAATATATGCCTCGATCTATTCTTAGGATTAGGAATGATGCAAATATATTTTTGACCAAGTTTATATGTGTCACATTCTAATTTTGATTTATTGTCATGTACAAAAAGTACACATAGATGAATATATAGGAATATAGATGGCATAAAGCCATTAGAATTTTGTGACATTTGAAAATACTATGACAGGATTCTGTTCATTTCATGTTCAACACAGTTCTCATGATTCTCTTTTGCATTATAAAAAAGGGGTAAACCACGGTCAAAATTGTGTACACCCAACCTCAATTTTACAAGGAATTCCAAGGGATTCTATGGAATTCCAAGGAATTCCAGTGTACACCAGAATTATACTGCACTTCACACAAGGAATTCCAAGGAACTCTAGGGATTTCCAAGGAAATTCAAGGAATTACAAGGATATCCAAGGAATTCCAGGGGAATCCAAGAAAATCCAAGGAAATTAAAGGAATTTCAGTTGTTAGTACACCAGAATTATGCGGCATTTCACTGAAAGAATTATAGGAAATCCAAAAAAATTCAAGGAATTCCAGTTGTTTGTAGACCAGGAATATACTGCACTTCACTTAAGGAATTCCAGGGAATTCCAAGAAAGTTCAAGGAATTCCAGTTGTTTGTACACCAGAATTCCACCGTGGTTTATCCCTCTGGTACTCATAAAATGCAAAAATACATTACCATGTCACTTTTGGACTAATAATTTCAACTCAGGTATTCCTAAGAGAACAAACTCAAAGTCTCACTCCAAGTAAATTTTAATTAAATAATACGTGCTACATGTTTCGACTCCTAGGAGTCATCATCAGGCTAAAATACAAAAAACTTATGAATAAAAAAAGTTCCATCACCATTGGAAAATGGGTGACATACCTTGCTAGGTAGGAGGAGAAAAGAAACTATAAAATAATAACCTAGCATACCTCCTGCAAAGTTTGGCATTTCATCTCTGTTGGCAGGTTATAAAATGTCACTATTTATAAATTACCTTTTTTCCGTGGGAAAAAAGTGAGTACTTTTTTCCCGGATATATATCACATATATATATACACTGTTGATGGCTTTTGTTGTGCTATAGTTCCGAAAAATGAGTCATTAATACCGTCTCCGAGAAAGAACTGCACGTCCTTTTATCCATTCGATTCGCGGTTACGTATTTTACTAAACAACCACTAAATTCGCAATTTTTTGAAATCAAATCACAGAATTAGACTGACAAAAGTGACATCAGATATTGGATTACTTCAAAAGAATGATAAAGATTCCTACAATGCACGTGTCCCTACTGTCAAAAGCAAATTTCACGTCGATAATTTTCAGATTTCAAAATAATGTAATATCTTCTCAATATTGATTCGTTCTTCTTCTGTCACATAAAAAAATAGTGTATTATACACGGGAAAAATATTAGATTTTAGCTCACGGTTTTTTGTCTCCGTCCGCTACGCGTCGGGAGACAACACAACCTGGAGGTAAAATCTACTACCTACCTTTTTCCCTTGTATAATAAATAACTATTACTGAAGTTTGAAATGTCAATTAGGTGGTATCAGTGGATTCAGGTAATTCCTCTACATAATTGTCAGATTATGGGTAGATACGACAAGGACATTAAGATGAAGCTTCTGTATAATAATCTGGCACGCTCGAGTATTTCAAGGTCACCATTTTTTTTTTTTCATTTTCAATAATTGATCATGATTTTTGGTCGCGTCCAAATCGTCAGTCTTTTGAATAGGAGCTACTTGAGGGTTCACCTAACGTCCCTTCTCAATATCAGATGGGCTCCAATAATTTTTTTTTCACCTATTCTCTATCCCTCCGTACGGCCACCCTCACCATGCAAACCGGCAGATTAATATTTTTCGGTTATCAGAAACACGTGGCCGCATACGCTCGAGTATTTCTATGTGACAGTTTCATTTACATTTTTGAACACCTGTACAGACTCTTCCCACCAGTGAATGGTCATATATCACATACACTTTTTTTCATTTTCGCATCTCCCCACGACGCTCGAGTAAATCCTTATTTAACCTCTTCGCCTCCCCTACTACAAGTAACTCTTATGTGTTGTTCGAGACAGAAATTATGCTCAATGAACAGATGTCGTTTCCAGCTATCAGGAAAATGCGTTCTTCAGTTCGAAGAACCCCCTGCCAGCCCTCACCCACTGGGACATGGTGGAAACATTCGACCACTCCGACTACCAGGTCTTCGGCATCGACGAAATCCAGAGCAGCATCGGGGACGACTCCCCGCAACCGTCCAGTCCGGAGGAAACACCCTCTTCCCCCGAAATCATCAGTCCCAAAAAGTGGTTCGACTGCAAGGCGAACAGCCCCAATACGCCCAAGGGCAGTTGCCCGGATTGCGAGGGCAGCCGGCACAAGAAGAAGTGGTGCGACAAGTGCAAATGGAAGAAGGCGCTTTCCTACAACTATACGGATAGTTCAGCGGAGTCCCTCAAGCCTGTAGGGGCTAAGAAGTCGAAAAAGGACGGGAGGAAGTGTCGGAAGGTATACGGGGTGGAGTACAAGGAGATGTGGTGCACGCAGTGTAGGTGGAAAAAGGCTTGCACGAGGTTTGCGAACAGGAGTAGGAGTTAGAGATCCGGGAGGGGTGTCTCTGATATGATCTGTGATGTTTTTGGTAAAATGACTGAGTGTAGGAGGATTCAACGTTCAAATGAAAAGTTCAGAATTTTATGCGTCATGCAAAATATGTTGGAAGGCATTTTTTGTTGATACAGAGTGGTACTATTACATTTTAGTTTGCATTTTTTTTTGATGATTTGAAAAATACAAAATGAAATATTGTTCAATTGGAGCTTATAATGCGAAATTCAATGCTTCCAAATACTAAACAGTATTATTTCTTTCCTGAATGACGCATTTAGGTATATTTTTTTGGTGTATTGGGGTTTGGGCTTTTGCATCCGTCTCTTCATCATTATACAGTTTTTTTTCCGTAAAATGATTTGGGTGATAGATATTCAAGAAAAATGCAGAAATGTTCACAGTGTTGGTGAATGAGTTGGTGCATTTCTATTTAATGATGATTTTTTGGTAGAAATTATGTGACTTCTGAAAGATTAGGAAAATTGTAGGAATTCGTGAAAAAATGCAACTTTCATGCCGTGGAAGTTTTTGTTGCTGTAGTGATTTCTAATCAGAAATAACTGAAAATGAATAATATATCGTTCAACAGCATGGAATGATAGTGATTTCCCAAAAGAATTTTTGATTTCTTCGTCCTTAGCCATCTGAATTCCTCTCAAGTAATGCTCAGAGCTGTCATTGCTTGAAATTCGACATTCCCTGGGCGATGAGATTTTCTTGAAATTATAACGAGTCATTGTGATATCAGATACGGAAATGAAATTGATGACAAAGTTCCTCATTGATGTATAAAACACAGTAAAATAAGAGTAATTTTGTGTCATAGCCGAAGAATAAAGATTGTCCAAATTGGAAGAGTTTCTGATACAACCAAATTGACCTACTGTACTTCAATGCCTCTGTAATGAATTCTACTTGTGAATATATTAACTGAAATGCACTAATATTTTCAGAGATCTACCACCCCCTTCATTTTTCCGAAGAGAATGTTATTATCTTGTATTAATTGATTCCTTCAGTATTTACAGTAGTTGTTTATTTTTTTTCAATAATGTTTCCGTTTTATTGTTACTGATGAAAATCACTGATGAGGTTCTCTAGTTCTTGAGTAGTTGTGATTTGAGAGGCTCAGAAAATCGAAAAAAAATCGACTGCTTCTGATATACAGAAAGCAGGAAAATCAACATTCTACAGACTTCACATCCATTTCAATTCTTCAGCTGGAGTTGTTATACATTTTGGCTCCATTATTTCGTCTCTGAGCCGTCATCATCTACTCAGATGCGAAAAAATGACAATCACACCGAGACTTGTGGTAAAATTTTCATAGAAAATGATTTGCAAGTCAGAAAAGGCCCATATTTCTTCCTAAAATAGTCTATTTAGGGTATTCCTCAGACATATCAGGAAGAATATCCATAATTTTAGGCCAGCCATCTGAGCACCTACTACATTGTGCCCAAGATAAAGAGGACCAGAATGGATATGCCGAAAAATACGGATCAGGAGGATCAACAAAATTACTTCCGAAAAACTCTGACAAGACTTTTCGTTTTTGGCTTATTTCCAAAAAGAGTATATCGTCCAAATCAGACTGGAAAGGGCTATTCGAATCTGATATCAAGATATCAGGGTCGTTTTTGAAGCTGATGACGGTTTATGAAAGACGAAACATTAGATCAATCTGTGATGTTAGATATCAGAAGGTGCCAGGAAGATGTATTTACAGTTTTGTCATAACTTCATTATTAACGATAGAAAAAAAATTGAAAATCTGGAAATACAGTTTTTTAAAAATAACTCTGAAAGGAAAAGTCAAATCAGAGATATTGGGAAGACATTGTCTTGGTCGTTCAATTGCGCAACTTTTCTTCCATACTGGCCCTCCTTATCTTGGGCACAGTATGTGAACATGAAACCGATTTTTCCCAGGTCTACACCACCGTCTTAACTTACTATCTAGATCGCTAATGCCAAAAGACAGAATATCATCCATTTATGAGATCGAACTGGATCCTGAGCATGATAATTCAGGACCTTGTTATGTTAAACTGATGAACCCGAAACACATAGGCGTATCGGTCAGAAAAATTATTGACGGGTGGTCAACTATGGAAGGTTGAGGAATTGGATAAAATTTTCGGGTTGATGGGATATGACATAGTGGTCTAGATATTGAGTGATTTATGTTTATGTGTTCTACACGTGTTATGTTATCTTTATTAGCATCGTCACGAGAAGAAATTGTTAATAGTTAGCAAAAGAAGTGTTGAAACTTTACAAGATCGGTATGCTTGGTAGAAACAACATACTGTTTAGGTGCTTGGATGTTCGTGAAATCCCTTTTGTGCACTCAAATTTATGTATACGTAATTTGAAATTGAAATCACATTATCCTGATCAACTAAGAAAATTCAAACACAAATCCCTTCAATTGAACAGCATTTCATTTTGTGTAGGTACTTGAAAATGTCACTGTATGAATAATAAAGTAAACGTGATTTTGAGTGGTCCATACTTGAGAATTCTGTCCATGTTGGTTGTCGAGTAAATTAGTAAACAAATTGAGAATAGATTCTGCAAGTTTTGGTTTCTGTATGTTCCTCAAATAAATGTCTATGAATTGATATTTTCATGTATATAATCTCTAATTTTCCAACTTTGATTCTGGATATTGTTTTTCAAAATTTATGCAGGAATCATAAACTTTTTTGGTATTCAAATTGCTATGAATTATTTTCTTTTGTTTAAAGGTAGTTATAGTTATGTGAGATGTTTTATTCATATTTTATACTTTTCATTAAATAATATTCAAAAGCATAATGTTTTATCACCCTTACATCATGATTTGATATCATATTTAATTTATATTTAGTACATGACATAAGTGTATAACTTCCGAAAATAGTAACCGATTTAATTTAAGTTTTTTAGATTTCAGAATATCCCGAAGCTCATTTTATTGCCTTCAAATTCATGAATAGAAAAGAAAATTAATATTCTACTGGGTATTTTACACAGGTACTGCAGTAATCCCATTCCGTTCAAAAATTTTCTCATATCGTACAAGTCGTATCGTATAGGTTTTTTAAACGTCTCACTTTACGTACCCAGGGAAATCTTATAACTTGATTTTGTCATTTTTCACTGATGAAAGTATCAAACGAGTCTATTTCTTGAATTTCCCCAGCATATATGAATAGGTGGTAAATAGCCGGGCCATAGCTGTCAGCAGCGGAAATGTGTCGTCAGCGGCAAGTTGATATCGGCAAAATGTTAGTATAACATCGGTAGTGCCGCCTCGGCTTGATGTACGCAAGTTACAAGTTACTTTCAGCAAGGAAGCTTTTTAATAAACGAAAAATCTTTCACATGGTCTTTATTCACTTGCGAACAAGACAAACAACAGGCAAAGACTGAATTCAAATATATGAAATGCCACAGCATGTTAACTCATTTATGATGAGTTTGCAAAATATTACAATTTCGTCGACATAGGGGGTTGATTTCGCTTTCCTTCCACATTGTTCACTCGTCTAAGTCCAGTAACGAAGCGATCCAACTATGAACTGTCTGTTCTCTATCCGATATGCCTTAGAATCTAGTTAGCCTTTTTCACTACCGAACTTTTTGTTTCGTATCCCGATAAATCGCTGAAACGAAAATCTGCCCGTGCGATACGAACAATTTTCGGGATCCTACCGACTGCGCCACTTACAAGTTACTTGCAGCAAGGAAGCTTTTGAAAAAACGAAAAATCTTTCACAGGGTCTTTATTTACTTGCGAACAAGACAAACAACAGGCAAAGACTAAATTCAAATATATGAAATGCTACAGAATGTGAACTTATTTATGATGAGTTTGCAAAGATCACAATTTCATCGACATAGTTTGGAAAGTGTCTGTAACTCGCGCTGCTGTCGATCCGACGCTGGAGACAAACTCCATAATCTCATATTGTATAGTTCAGGGAATGTATGTATATTCTTAAAACTGTGATTGTAGTACCACAATAATATATTTCCAGAATCCTTATGTATTTTTCTATGGTTGATCTCAGCAAACTATCGTCTGACAATTATACACTCTACCAATTTATTTTTGTGCGGTAATGACTGAGTTAATAATATTTCATTATTATAACAATATGATGATGCAGCAATGCGAGGTTCAGTCCTTTACCTATAGGTATACGACAAATAATTGAAATAATATTCGATTCACAGTAATAGATGAGAAACTGGAAAAGTAATGTGGCTGTAACATTATCAGACTACACCTATTCTAAACAAAATTGCTCACATCATCGGTAGAACTCATGTAGAACTGGTGGGGATTATTTCTGTTCAAGCTGAATTTTCCATCAAAATTAGAAAAAATATTGTACATAACACGTTAGGAAATAACGCATTATGTGTAACTCTGTGTATATTGTTGGAAACAGCTTCGCTCGTCCCGCAAAATCGTCACACAAAATGTTTACGTAAACATTCAGTATTGTCACCACCCATTCGTTGAAATTTGAGGAAATGAAAACTCCTTTTATTTATCCTCAATTTATTTATTGAAAGAATAATGAATCGTGAAAGTTTCATTTGCATTTTTATAAATTCATAATATTGTTATTTTCTGATACAACTATTTGGTCTTCCACTTAGATTATTTGATTCTCTTATCACTTCCGTTGAAGTTCTCCACTGGCATCAACACATCACTGGATAGGTGCAACTGTTCCCTCAGATCATTTTTTCTTATCAGTCCGAGGTTAATATAAATGATTGTGTTCTCCTCTTTTCTTACTTCCTCATTTTTGTCACATATTATTCCATTCAAATTACTAGTGAATAACAATATAATTATTTGGTCGAGGCAGAGTTAAACACAATAAACCACTGGCTGTGGACAAAAAAAAAACTAAAAAATCTGAGACAGACATTAATTAGCGATACAGCATGTCCGTGAGAAATTGACCAGAATCGAGAAGGAGGTTATTTGATGAATGGTTAAAATTCAAGCTATGTTCAAACATGCATGTAGCTCAGAAAATAACAATTTCGCCAAACAGGGCATGCTAGATATGATAATGAATTATTCATAGAGAATCCCTTCATACATTTTTTATATTTTAACATTGGTCAAATCAATAGTATATCTTTGATCATCGGATGAACCGAATAATAAATTATATTTATATCAATCATGCATCAGGATCAAATATATTTTTCAAGCGTTCCCAATGGTTAATTTAACCTTTTGCCTAAATTCGTCCGATAAGACAGACTGTTTATATGAACAGGAAAGTTTATGCAATGTAAGGTAAAACATTTGAGTATCACCTCTAATGAAGGTTTACACGTGAAACTTACCAATTAATAGAGATCCGAACAAGTATATGGGTATCAAACAGTTTACATCAAGGAGGATCCCAAAAATGATATTTCCAAAAATGGCTCCCAATCTTCCAGAGGTTGTAGTGATAGCTAATGCTATGGCCCTATTATGGAAGAAAAAACATGTTTCCAAAATTACTCATATACCTACATCATCAGGGTTTCCAGAAATAAAGTAAAAAATATTGCAGATTCCTTTGGGGTGTCACCTTGAAGACAACCTCAAAGAATGGTTCCAATTGAAATACATGAAGTATGAATTTGTATAAAGAATTAGTAGTTAATTTGTTGAATGTAAATTGTATAGGTTGTTACCATATGGTATCATTTTTGTATTGCGTTGTGTCATTATATTGTGTTGAGATTCTCAAAATATGTAATAAGTAAAATAGGGTACAATGATATAGGTACACGATTTGATACACCTACCTCATATTCGTGGGAAATAATTCGATGACTACACAAAAAAGTACTGCTTCTAGAATACTGGTGAATGCTTCAAATATACATGAAACTACCAAAATTTGTACTGTACTTCGTACCCAGTTCAATGACACTGTTGCCACACCGGATAATATGAGGCAAACAACTAAAAAGAAAACAAATATTTCACTTGATGTACGTATAAAAAGATCTACAGATCTACTTTTCAAATGGCATCGGCTGGCATGATTCTTATCTCGTTATAAGATTGCAAGTTTTTGTGCAAATTACGCACAGAGAAGTGCCGTTTTTCAATCATTTTGCTCAGGATAGTGATTGGCACAGTAGCCGTTCCATAGTTCGCGTGCACGATGACAGACCCTGGAGGTGAAATATTGAAACACAACCTCACTTTTCTGTGAAATATTGAAACACAACCTCACTTTTTTTATTCGTTTACAGGGGAATCAAAGGATTGAAATAGTTTTTCACAATATTTTGGCATACGAATCGTGTTTATTGCGCTATTCATTAATTCAAGCATGCCTTCTCATTGTGCTGTTGTACAATGCACAAAAAATGCAGCGAGACGCGAAGGAATGTGATTTTTCAGGTAAATAGTAATTATAATACTGCTTGTAGATTGAAAATGTCTAAAACACACACGATCATATATTTCGTCAGCATGTCAGACCAGTCCTTCCGTTTGATTCCATGATCTATACATGCACCCAATCTTGTTTCTTGCATTCTTGCATTATTTTAGAAATTTCACGAGTATTTTTATTAGCTCTTTTATTGCAGAAGGAATGTAAGAGACTATAGTAGGTACTTTTACTTTTAAATCATGATGTACCAACCGGATTCCTTCGTCTCCCGCTGCATTTTTTGTGCATTGTGCAACAGCGAAATAATGAATAGCCGAAAAACACTATTCATGTGCCAAAATAATTGCGAAAAACTATTTCAATCCCTCGTAAACAAATAAGAAGAGTGAAGTTGTGTTTCAATGTTTCACTTCCAGGGTCGGTCATCTGACAGTTCTTGCACGCAACCCATAAAATAGAATGTTTTTGCATATGCTTTTGCCGGCTCTCCTTCTAGTAGATGCTTACCTAAGACATATCGTTTGCCAACTTTTCTCATGAAGAAACTCAGTGTTACGGATGTGGGAATACAGCTCAGTCCTATCATTAGAGTATCGAGGAACACCCTTATGTCGATTGAGGGATTGCAAGTGACGTATGTGTGCCATATGTCATTTCTAGATTCGTTGTTCTGGAAAACCTCCCAAATACTGGCCGTAAGATTGGGATGTTGGATTTCGTAGTCATAAAATCTGGCGAAAATATCCGGGAACCACATTATCAGTGTGAAATAACTGAAAAAATTAATATAAATTTTGTTAAAACACTATAGGCCAAGAGCCAGCTGCGAATTTCGACCATTTTCTGATAACCAGTTTGAACAGAAGATGGTGTAGAAACTCCTATCAAATCCTATCTACTGTTTTTCGGTCAAAGTTCTTGACCTACGACCTATTTGACAGAAGGATTCTTTTCGATATCGCGGAATATAGGTCGCATTTTCCCCGTTAGATGGCGAAATCTCAACCAAAATTCAAGGTTGGTATTGATAACTGACGATAATTAAAATTCCCCAAAATTACAGTTTCGTATTTTCAAACTTAATCTCAGAGGGTACGGTTTCTTCTCTGACGTAAATCTTAAAAGATGTTGATTGGTGAGTATAATTATGTGATTCTGGCCAAATTATGTATACCTATGTGATAAAAAGTCTTGCACAGTAAAATTCAGACGATAGATGGAGACAAATGTTATATATCTTCAATGTTATTGATTCATAGTACCAGACAAAGCTGCCATCAGTACCTATATTGTCATGATTATTCTTTCTTCCATTCTACTGAAAAGATATCTTAATTGAACCAAACTTTATTCATGGATCTGCATTTAATTTTAACTTTATCTATGCATATTAATAACGTCCTCAGAATATATTGGACTATTGAAGGAAATTTCAATTCTTTCTCCACTCAGACAACACATCATATGTGCTTCGAATTGTTATTGAGTGAGGATATTCATGTAGTGTATATCCATTAGATATCCTCGTATAAGATATGCCATGGACGTCAATCTCAGTGTTTATTTAAATTTGAAAAACTTCAAAAACGATGAGATTCCGCAAACTTCTTCAAGTGAAATACTCGTACCAATAAACTAAACTTATTGCCTTATACAAGCGTAATTATCAATCAACGCTTAAACTTTCCGAACTGATATAAATGTTGGGGGAGTCAATGTAAGTTTGAAGGAGCAAAGATTGAAAATTAATGTATATAAGGATGTGAATTGTTAACCATCGAAATTTCACTAATAATGTAGTATTTGACCATAATCTGACAGGTACGCACTGATGATGACTTATGATGATGATGATGAGTCGGAAGCGCTCTGCTACGAATATTTTGAATAAATTTCTCGCACGAAATACAAATCTTCCCTTCTTTGGTATAATCTGATTTTACCATGTCTCACCTAGTCATCAGTCCAAAATCTGCAAATCCTGTGATCGCCATATACTTCAGATACGGTTGTGAAAATAATACTTTCAAAGAGTTTAATACATTTTTAGCTTTCTCTAAGATTGTCCTTCCTTGATAACCATTTTTGATAGATTTATTTTCATTGTTGTTTTCGAACTCTCCCACCAAACTTAATACCTGCAAAAGTGACACCGATGAGGGTTTTTTTTAAATAGGGATGAAGTTGCGAAGATGATTTTAGGTTTCATTTCAACTTTTGTATCTATTATCTCATTTGTTGAAAGTTGGTTGATCGAGGAGGTGGGACCTTATCCCCTGATTTCTTTAAAATAAAAATATTAGTATTATTTCAATTTACAAAGTCACCCATTTGAAAGCTGTCCATCCTGATGATTTTTATATTTATGGATCGATTTTCACGAATTTTATTTTGAAATGTACAGGGAGGAAAGGTGTATCTTAGAGCTGAGCGTCGTCCACTTTTTTTGAAAACTAAGGCCTACTAGATCACATTCACAAGCTGAAAAATCCGGAATCCATATTAGCGATTTAAAAAAAAATAGCGTACGCCACTGGAATACCATCTTTCATGAAGAAATACTCAATTTTAACGATTCTACAGCGCAATATGATCAGTTTTTCAAAGTCCAGCATCCTTCTGGACAGTGCCGTAGGTTTTCAATAAAATGAAAAGGGGTCAATTATTTATGAAATCATACCTATTAGAATTTTTTTTTCGAGAGAACTGACCTCATGATTTTGTTCCTATGAAGGGTTTCAAAAGAACAGGCACATCTGAAAATTACTTTTGCGAACATGATAATCATTAATTCGGGAACGGTGAGTTCAACCTAAAATAATATTTTTTGTTTTTTATTTCAAATCACCATTTTCTACCTACCGGAGCTATTTAACGTTCCAAAATTTGCACTTAATTTGAATTCATCATTTTTCTGAGGCTGAAAATGAAAATGATGAAGCCAATCCTGTTGATTTGGAATAAGTAGGTGATTTTTCGCATATTGAGGTCCTAAAGCATGAGGAATTATAGTATCAAGGCTTCTTATTCTTCTTTGTATTTCATCGAAAAACCACGGCATTGTCAAAAATGATGTTTGCAGAGATATAGAGGGGGACCGTTTGAAATAAAACACGCAGTAGAGTCGAAATGTTGAATATTTTCTCATGAAACTTGGTATATACAGATCTATTCCAGATGACTTCGATTCCAGTAGCGTACGCAGATTTTTTTCTAAAATAAATCGCTAATATGGATTCTGTAGTTTTCAGCCTTTGAATGTGATCAAGTAGGCCTTGGTTTAAAAAAAAGTGTGAACACAGCCCAGCTCCAACATACACCTGCCCTATCTCTACATTAAAAAAAAAACGTAAAAATTGCTCCATAATTAAAAAATCATAAGGATGGCGCGCTTGAAAGGGTCACTCGATCCGTATGTTTAGTAAGGACAAATCCGATGTTTTGCGTTGAATATTTTTGTATCTAGTGCGCGAGTTGAAAAAATAATCGGGTCACCAAAGTATTTTCGTACGAGTTGCTAACAAATTTTTTTTCTACAATCGACAAATAAAAGTATAGTTCTGAAGTAGTAATACATATGCTTAATCTTAATATAGAAATGGTGTTGAATAACTAAAAGAAATAAATGATTTCTTGGATGTTTGCTAGATTGAGGACCAAAAAGGTTATACTTAATACAAAAAAGTGAAAGTAAAGTTGACATTGACATGCAATACGCGAATTATTTACTTTGCGCACTATTTCACGCTCGGTGTCGTGGTAACGAAGGAAACTGAAAAAAATGTCACTTCGCATATTGTTGTCAATGCGCAAACCTTGTCATTTTTTTGACGTTTGTAGCAAAAAAATCATGACTATTATTATAAACTCTGAAGAAATTTATACATACTGGGTAAAAACAGTTGGGTTGACCAGTATTCCGAGAATACATTTGCTGAAACACATGCAAAGCTTCATCATTTTTTCCTTTCGAAATTAAATATTTCGGCGTCTCTGGAAGAAACATCAACAGTATCAAACTCATCAAACTTGGAATTCCACAAATCGCCACGAATATTCTCCATGGACTGAAGTGGAGGTGGTCAGAAAAAGTTTTGAGCACAGACTCATTCAACAAACACCAGGCCACACCTGAAAACAAATATACCTTCTGTAAAAAATCATCGTTTTTAACTTCAAGAGAAAACGCTAACCTATACTGACCTGGTATGATAATCACTCCGACATTCCAGAAAATTTCCAGCCTCCCTAACATGACATCTCTTTGCTTGACTGACAAGAACTCTCCCAAATAAGAAAAAACTATATTGGTTGCGCCAATGATTCTGAAATATAATAATCATCAGCATGGAGGGATTGCTAGAGCTGACGGTGATTCGAGTGATTGTTCCTTTTTGATGCTGGATATAAAATTCGAAAAATATGTTTTCCTCGGAATATTTCGGAAATAGGAAAATGACTCAACAACTAATACTGCAACACAATAATCTGAATGATATACTTATAAAATGTTTCATTCTTTCAATTTCCAGAAAAGAATGAACCACCTACGAGTGGAGGCCTCATCTCACAATTTTATTTCAATAAATTCCTGTATTCTGAATTTATCTCGAATATTCATGAAATGTTTTGTCAAAATAATGAATTACGCAAGGTGATTTGAGAAAAAGTATACATGAACATATAAATATTATACATACAGGCTAACAAATATTCCAATAATAATTTGATTTTTTCCTGGGTTTTCAAATTGACGAGGAATTTATTATTGAAAATTAATACGCTACTTAATGACAACTTGAATGATTGATATCAGGAACTTGCCCTAAATTTTAGTTTGATTCCCAAAATTTTTTCAACTTTCTTGAAGTTAATATATTCTTTATTGCATCATGACATTATGAACCTCGAACATTACTACATTATGTTACATGTTATATTGAATATGCTTATAAATTTCGTAATTTCGTATCAATCCGATCAATGATATTTATTATTTAACTACGTTCAGTTGGGATCCCAATAATGCAGAATAAAGGCAAATATTTTGCCTTGTTTAGCCTTTATTGATTATCTATAATGATAGAATTATTTTAATCATCACAAAACTTAGCAATCCAATGTATTTTCAATATTGCTTGGAAACTCATATAATTACCCAAATCCATTACAGAATCTGCAGATCAGAAATAAATTAAAACTCCCAGCCAGAGATGATACAATTGCTGCCAAAAAATCCACTAGTAGAGATAGAATGATAGCTATTCTTCTACCTCTACTGTCTGCTATGGTTCCCCAAACAGCACAGCCAAATACCATTCCTAAAAAAGAACCATGAATCCAGTGTTATATTTTTAAAAAAATTCAGTGGAACAGTATAAATATACAGGGTGTCTCTGAAAGGTCTGCACATAATCTCAGCACATAATCCTGAGGTCTAAATAAACCGATTTAAAGCAACTTACCTCAGTCCAAAATTTCTCAATTTCCGGAGGTGGTGAATTTAAAAAATAAAGATCGAATTTTTCAAAATTGATGAACATTTTTGAACGTATCACTTCAAAAATTGGTAGATCATAGCATTTTGGGATGCAAAACCGGAATAGGGACACCATTGCACTGTGATCATTAGAGGGCGCTTACCAATACACTTCTTATGGTTTAGAATGTCCATAACTTTTTTCTCAGTGTAGTTTTTCACTTTTCTGTTGAGGAAATGATTTTCTAAATATATTTGCAAGTAAAAGAAGGTGCACTAAATTCAATGAAATAAGCCGTTTTAGAGATATTTCGGTTTTTATGGTGTTCGATGCCGCAACGGAATATTCAAATTATTATGAATTGAGAATGTTTGCTGTTATCTCCGTAGATCTAATTTGGTTATTGAATGAGCAGTGCGAACATGGATTTTACAAAATATTTTTTTTAGTGTTCTTGTCGATTTTTATTTTGTAAATTCACTATCCTGTATCTCCGAAGTTCCTTTAAATCGGCTTATTTTGACCTCAGGACCATGTGCTAAGAAGTTATACAGACCTCTTAGGGATACCCTGTATATAAATCACCCTAATCAAAATGGAACACCCAGAATATCCCGAAAAGAACGCGGTAGGTAACTAGTCGATTTTTGGTGTTTTAATATTCATTTCATGTTGTGAACAGGGCCACATTTAGACCCTTTACCAAAAGCAAACAAATAAATATTTTTGGATATTTTTCGGAGGCATATTTTGAGAAAAACATTTTTTCCAGATTATGTTGCAAGTGGACCAAATAGCCCACTAGATTTTTTTCAATACATTTTTTCAATGGCAACTGAATCAATCTCTGGTGTCTGGTGGTAGTGGAGTGGAATTTTTCAAAAGGAAGAAGGAAAGTTCAAAGTCTTCTCCACTACTTCATTACTGGATGTCAATCAACCAAGGAGAAATGTTTCGGACTTATGAAAGTCTATCTTCAGCCGTTTTTATAAGTTACTACAAGCAAAGGCATGTGAAAATATACATATATATATATATTATAAAAAACCAAAAGTTGACTTATATGGAGAACATTATTTTTAAAATGATTGCCGATGTCTATCATCATATTATCGTGGTTCTGTTCATTGATAAAGAGGGTTGAGAAAAAAAGGGTTTTAAGGGCCCCATGCCCTAAGAACGCGCACTTGTAAAACCAAAAGTCAAGCCCCAGAAGGAAAACTTGAGCACTTTGAGTGCATCTTTGAGTGGAATGTTGTATGTTGTGCCAAATGATGTTTCGTATTCATCATAATATTTTATCTTGGAAGTCAGTGAAACCAATGATATTCTTTCTGGGATTTCTATTATATCCATCGAATAATAATTTTCGGTAAAAATTATTCGTACTCCCAACTCAAAATGAGGCCTCCAGAGTGGTACACACTATATATATCTTACCTACTAGTGGTGATGCTGATAACCTTCCCTTATCACTGGATGATAAATTGAAGTCGCATTCTGCTGACGGCAGAACAAATGAGAGCGTCGTAGTACTTATAGCACATGTTGCATAAATGATCCCACATACCACTAAGAGGATTTTCTGGAATTTTCCACACTCTGCAAAAACATCAAGCAAAATAATGATAATATGGTATTAGGGTCTTGATTATGAGAAAACAACACAATTTATTCAAAACACGGAATTGGCTTTGTTTTTCCTAGCCATATCTTACTACCATTGTCAAATAATATATGGAATATACCGGGTATACCCCTCTTTTCTCCTTTGTTTTCCTAGCTATACAGGGTGTCCCGAATGATCATTTCGTAGAGAGAGAACCGTAATAATGTCAGTATTTCATATACAAAAAATTCCTTTTTATCTTCCGGTTTTCCTGGATATGACTTCAACTTTCGATCTCCAAATGGAACACATTTTATTTCATAATCGGTTAGAGATTATAACGAATTCAACGATACTGGGTTTGATCGGGTTATTTCGACGATCACGAAGATATTTGCGTTCGAAGTTTCCATAATTATGATCAATGAGTGTGACGGCGCAATATCGAAACTTCTATCTCTGTCACACTCATTGATCATATATGGAAACTTCGAACGCAAATATCTCCGTAATCATTTGAAATAACCCAGTCAAACCCTTCTGATTATAAAATAGGTCTACATGTATATATTTTGATCAGAAGAAGTTTCTAGTGCATGTAAAACGATCTACTGAATTCAAAAATGAAAAAACATGCAAAAGGCAATAATAGATAAACAGAGATATAGATGTTGGCCTTGTATATCCAGGAATTCGCAAATGATCAAGATTGCAACCTAGGGTTTATACAGCAAACAAGAGTAAACATATAAGAATAGAATAATCTAAGGAATAAGAATTATCAAGACAAATTCATACAGATGAATGATATTAAATAAGATATAGGACTGGACCAATCACGTCGCAGTAACACAAATCCGTTGTGATCAATTCAATCATCTTCATCTGACAATGACTTTTACGTCAACTGCCAAACTGACATTTGCACATGCGCTTTTCCATTTCCAAACAAAATAAAAAGTTAAGAGTTGCCCAACTCTTATTTTATTCCTTATCTCTAATTTTTTCTTAGTTAATGTATGGATGTTTCCTTTATAATACGTACGTTGAACTTCATTATCTTATTCTTAATTTTATCTAATTCGCTGTTGAAACCCGCAGCTTCAAAAAGAGAAATTTCAATAGATTCAATAAAAAGTGCCTGTTCTGAGTTGCAACCTTGATTCTTGAACAATAAAATGCAGTGTACCTAATTGGGCCTATCATAGATTAGTTAATCTATGGGCCTATAAAATGGGAAGTACTCACTGGAATAGCTAATTGCAGTTTCAAAATCAGCTGCACGAATGAGGTCCGCGTGATCTGAAACACTTCAAAAATTATCAGTCTAATTTGGTTCCTGAAAAATAACGGCTATAGCCTACTCATCAGATGCTTGATTTAATTCGCACATCTTTGTCTTTCAACCTATAGCTACTTTTGAAACGAAAATGGCAACAGGCGTCATGAAAATAATGAAAGAAACACCTCATTTTTAATTCCTGACAGGCAATTTTGATTCGAAATGAGTTATTGTTATGGTGTCATGTTAAGAGTTATATAGAAGCTCATTAAAAAATGAACATAAGATAGAGTGTACAAGAAGCATAAATGAAGCAATAATGAGTCTCCCTGATGGGTATATTATCACACTATCCAATTCATGTACCAAGGACGAAAAACTGTCTATTATATAGTCAAATTTGTTTATTGATTGCCGATTAGCCATCAGACGAGACAATACAGTTAGTTTTACGCCGAGGTGCAAGTTACATTTTTTTGTCGACTTCAAACACTGAATAATTAATTTGACCACAGCAAATGACCGTCAACTCACTCTCCTCGCGGACCAGGGATGCCAGTTCGATTTTCATTCCATCATTGCATACCTCGTCAATCATTCAGATCTGTGTTATGCTATACAAATTCCAAGAGAGGATAATGAAATAAACCTATGATGTCAAAACATGATGTAAACAGAAAAGCAATGTATTTTCAACAAAACAAGATAGAAACAAACAAAACAAACCTTCTCATGAAAAAATAATCATATTCCTAATTCTGAATTCAAATATACTCGCAAATGTCACAAAATACAAATACCTATGATTTGTGTATACATAAAACAGGAACGAATAGTAAAAATGAACAACAAAAATACAAAACAAAATTCAACGTTATAAACAAACTGTTATAACAGAGGTATATAAAAAATTGAATTTGATCTGAATCAGATAGAAGTATTGTCCTTTTTTTGGTTACCGCATATCAGAAGTACCTATATGACAATTTATCACTTATTTTGTGAAATTTATTTAAACAGAGCGTGCCGAAATATCATGAAATTGATAAGTGTATGTGATTGACTAGAGATGAACTATAATATAGGTAATTATAATAATAAATAAGCGTAGATCAGTAGATCAATTTGCAAATCAGGAGATTTACTGTAAATTCAGTAGTTCTACAACCCTGCAGCAGTCGAAAAGTATTTGCGGACGAAAATTTGTGATTTTTTGTAGAGGTCGGCGAAAAAATAGTTCAAGAACATGATGATTTTTCATTCACAGGGTGATTCAAAAGTACTTTGGCAGAGTTCATGAGGTGATTTCTTACAATATTCTGTGAATTGAACAGTTTAATTTTGTTTTCGTTCTTCAGTAACTTTTTGGAATAATGATCCTATTTGAACGAAAATTCGTGCATTGAGGTTTTGAGGTGTCTAATTCGATCCTGATGGTATTATAGCTCTTACTCTTACACACTTCTGAATCCTCATTCCAAATAAGATAGTTGGGAGCTTTTGTCAAAAACATGTAGACACTACTGGAAACTTACTGAAACTGATTTTCCAGATAGTTTTTTTTTTGACAATCTAGCCACTTTCTCAATAAATGCCTTGTTACTCTGGAACGATTATAGATATCGATATGCCATTTTCATCATTGAGTTTGTCCCTCATAAGTTGACATCTCTTCATATTCTTTGACTTCCCCTTTTCGATATACACTCAGTTCCAAAAAAAGGGACTTCTTAGAAGCTACTGGTATTACCACATTACAATGGCCTGCGAGAAGCCCCGATATGAATCCTATAGAACATTTGTTGGATGAATTAGGGAGAAGGGTACGTTCTCGCGAGAGGTCTCCGGAAAGTCTCGCAGAAATGGCAGATGCATTAGTGGAAGAATGGTATCGTATACCAATGGAAACGATAAGCAACTTAATTTCCAGTATGCCTCGTAGATTATTATGAGTTCTCAGAGTTGCTAGATGATGCAATACATGGTATTAAGCAGTCACCCCAATTTATAATTTTGTATTCAATAAAAATATTTTTTTAAATTATTGGTTCAGTATCAGTTTATTTCATTAATAAATTGTTTCTCGATAAATTCAGAAAGTTGGTAATCTGCAAGGATTCGGCAAAAAAGCTGTAATTCGGAAAATTTTAGAGATAAATCAATGAATAGAATAACAAAATGCTCGCAAAAGAAGCCTCTTTCGTATAGGGTGCAAGCACTTTGTATACCATTACTCAATTAACACATAGGGTGAGTAAAAAATTAAGAATAAATCATGGTTCGAGTTATTCCACCACCATCAAGGAGGCTTTGAAAAACTTTTCACCTCGTTTTTTTTTTAAAGACAAATGCATTACCTACCAACAAATGAAAAAAAAATGAAAATCGGCCTTCTTTTTTTTTCAAATATCAAGTGTGTCACTTTTTCTGGAACTGAGTGTATTTGGCCTAGCCAATAGATGATATTTTTATAGAACTCCGAATTATGTTATTTGAGGTATGAGTAAATAGAAAGAGCAATCGCAGTTTTCAAAATAATGAAATGCCTACTATAGTCTCCTGATTTCTTTGACGTAATTTTGATCAGAGGTAGCCAATGAATTATCAGTTATAGACAGTTTATACAAGCCGTTTGGTTATGTCAATTAATCAGTTTCGAAAATAATGAGCCAGCATTCAAAAATGAGTAAAAATTTGATATTTTTTCAATATATCAAACATTTTTTCAAACGAAGTGTCACTGACAAGCTATTGGATTTTTCTTTCAGGTTCCCTGAGTAGTAAAATGTTTGAACGCAGTGACATTTTGGGGCAAATCATCTGATTTACCTTATTACACATATATTGAAATGATACTCATATTTTCATTTTATGGAAACGAGGAGTGAAAATCACAAATGAACAAGTAAAATGAATCCTAATTTGGTTGATCAATTACCAAATATTTCACGCCACCAGTTCATTGAAACTCATAATTGTGAATAAGTCTCCATGAGTTTGGAAACACGCTTTAATACCAAAATCTTTCAAGTTTTTTTTTCTCTACAAATTTAACTGCACTTTTTTCAGGCACTTGAACAACCTTATAACCCTAACCTACAACAAACCTACCTTCTTCACAATCTTGTATCACTAGTGATGGAGACCGTTGCATTTTAGTTTCAGTTATATTATTTTATATCTGAAGAGCTACATAGCACTATACATACTAGCAGGTATCTTCTCAAAGTCTAGTTTCACTTGTTATCGGCGATTTGTTATTCTCGAAACAAATTCACTTATCGCTAATAATAGGCATAGAATCAACACCATGTCTTCTTCTGAAGGCATATTATTTTGGTCGAGTACCTATTTGTATAAAATTTTTATCGCAAATTTTTCCATTCATTGTGGAAACTTTCTATTAGGAGTGAATAGAAGATTATGGAAATAACTCAGGGAATAATGAACTATAAACATACACTGTGACAATAAAGTAACCCCCCGAACGGCTGGAAATTTCATTTCGATTTTTTTTCTGCTCCATTGGTAGCTACAGTGCTAAATTTTAATTCCGATAGGAAATTGTCTCAGTCAATGAACGCCCAACAAGGGGATGTAGATGACAAGGAAGGGGACATAATTTTGACACTAGGGATGTGTTTGGAGTAGATGGGGAGTAAAAGATCCAAGAGTCCTCGAACATACAAGGTGAACCAAGTGCAGGGGGCGAAGTAGAAGGTCCCCTTGTTTATCGTTCATATCTCAAAAACGATACGCCACAGCAAAAAAGTTAATTCATTCAAAATTATAGCTGATAAAATTGACTACAAAATTGCCTACGAAATTATGTCAGTAGGATTTTTCTCTATTTTCCATAGTTTTTGGAATATTCGCTAGCGGTTCATGTACATTTTTGACAATCTCTCTTTTCATCGAGCGTATTTTGACGAAACAACCTTCAGTTTATCACCAAAGTCTTCGATGAAGAAGTCGCAAAGGATTCAGAAGATGATATACTGTTAGCGCAGCTCTATCCTAGGACTATCCTTCCTTCAATAGCCGATGTTGGATCGTATGATATCAACCCCCAATAAAGGAACTGAAGAATATGTCATGGGTTCTTGAAGACAGAACTCCAGAATTTGTTAGATGGAACGAGCGTGTTATTTCAAGTAATTATATTTTCCGCTGTTTGCACATTGCATTGATAGAGCTACGACAATGCCTGGCAAATTCATCAGATAATCGGTTGCCAATCGAACCATCTAGAGTACAGAAGACATAATGCAGTAAATATTTTGGAAACAAATTCTAAAGACATGAAGCGGGATCCATCGAAACGAAACCCAAGAGAGAACGCATATTCGATATTCGTTGGTCTATCAAAAATATCAAGAAAATGAAAATATATGTGGTGAAGGTCATGAGAAAGTGCTATTTCGCTGTGAGAAATATGACTTGCCCCTCCATCCAGAAAATACCATTTCCAATAAAGAACTTTCGTTTTGGCTCAGTAGTTAATTTTACTACCGTCCTTTTGAAAGGCCACCTTCTTTGAGTGAGTGAAACATATTGAATTTTTTTATTCAGTATTCATGTGTTCCTTTTCAAAACGAAACAATCCGGAATTAATTGAAAAAATGAGAAAATGGGAGAAAAAAAGTTTCAGTAATATCTGGGTTAAGAGCCATCTAGACGTTTATTCGTATGAATATTTTTGACTGAAATAATAAATAATCGAAAGACGATTCGAATGGGGTGCTATTTTGGAAGATACATATGTTTTATTGAAATCAAAATGTAGCACTTGGAACGAAATATTTTTTTTAATTCCAGCTGTTCAAGAGATATTTAGGAGGGGGTTACTTGATGGACACAGTGTATGTTCAGACGGTTAAAAAATGACTATTGAGTCGACTGGGTATTGTGAATACGAAACGATACGATACGATAACATTTCATTTGGAAGCGAATGACAATAAAATTATTTTAACTTGTCGAATCGCTTTATCTATGATCTGAAGGGTATATACACTGTGGAGACGATTTAATATATTCACGTACCTTTTGGAAGCGATATAAAGAAAACATTGTTCTAAAATTGTACTATCCGTCATTCGGTTGCCCCCTCACGAGCAACCCTCAGAAGTCTTCGAAAGTCTTGTGCGAGCAAGGAATGACGGGGGCCTTACCTTTTAACGTGTGATCCCAAACACTTTCTTGGGCCATCAGAAAAATGTCTGCAGTCGATGGGAATCGAACCCACGACCGGCAAGCGAATGCGAATTAGAATATAGACGCTCTGTCCGCACGGCTACCTGACCTGGCTATCGAAAATATATCCCTCTAGGGGAAACTATCCTCAACATGATTTTTTCAGAAGTTAAAATTTGGCTTGTGACCCCTCGTTGGAAAGCTGGTGGAAAGGGAAAAATAATTTCTTATTTCTCGCAAAAAAAATTTGATCGAGAAAAAAAGTGAGATGAGAACAACTTTATCATAATTGTGCTAGAGTAGTCTATAAACATGATTATTGTGGTCAGTAACTGGAACACGAACGAGGTAGAGTATCTTGCAAAACATGATAATCTTGACACATCATGAACAAGTAAATGGAGATGCACCCAAATAAATTATGTTACATATCTGGAAAAAACAAGAGAACTTATGAAAAAACTGCAGTTAGCAAAAAGTTAGATGATGGATTTTGTTTTTTATCAAAATACCTAGATGTGATCAGTGGAGTACTCCAAAAAAGTTACATTAAATGTTATCTACCTGTATATTGACATGTATTTTATATACATTCACGATAGAAAAATTGCCTTACGAATTTTAGAGCAGTTCCTCTCAAGGATTTTGAAATACTCATCCAAGAAAATCTGAAAATAAAACAATTCTTCAATGCCTCCCACGGCTCAACGGTGCAGATTCATATAGAGGTAATTAAGGTGATTTCAATCAGATTGTTGTTTCCAGTCTACCCTGTAGAATTTATGGTACGTTGTCAAGGGACACCTTGTATATTTCTGAACCAGTTTTTGTTCGCGAATGCAAATATTCAATACCACTGATTGTATAAAACAATAACCTGAATATAGCTACAAATATGTGGAATATGTATAGGTATATACTCACGCCATTTCTTGCTAAATCAATAATTCAAGCACAAGATATACGAGCACAGACGAACGATTTTTTTCTGAAAATAGTAGAAACTGCATGTTGTGCATCTTAAATGCAAAATTCTTATCTTTTAGGTGCAGACCAAGGTCTTGAAGGCGACAAGATTTTTTTTTCTGCATTAAGTTGTTAAATATATAACTGATAGATATCTACACCAATGAAAATAAACAATCATAATCAAGAAAAATCAATAGTCAGTTTCGAAACAAAATGCGTAATAAGAATGAGTGTATACACGAAAATGAAAAGTTAATACAGTGTGTCTGATGCAATTCAAGCAGTAGCGCCCTCATATATTATTATCTTGCTAGTTGAGAGTTGAAATGGAAATCATCTCATGTTTGCTTTAACTTCCCTGAAGTTGAGAAAATATTGTCACATTTTTCAATAAATCAAAAAAATAAGAATTTTTTTAAGACGATGTATTATTCATAGTAACAAAGGTCAATTGTGAAAGAGTCAAAAATATTTGTTTTATGTTATTGTGGCTAAAAATTCCGATAAATTACTAAACTGGACAAACAGTCAGTTCGAAATACGTGATTAAATATTGATATAAGTTATAAATAGATGTATTAATTTATAAATAGTAAATTATACGCTATTATTAGATTTTCGATATACCTCAATGACACTGCAAGGAATACTGATGGGCATACCAGGATAAATTCATTTCTTTATCAGTTCGACTTATGGCTTGACCATTTGACGAAAACGATTTTAGACACAAATATTTTGAGAATAAGGTACATTTTTAATTTATTTATTCATTATTCAGTTTACAAACGAGTCTCGTTTCCGTAAATTATAAATGCAGTCATCAGAATGGACGGGTACGGAAGATACTTTATGCGCTGATGCATACAACTATACAGGGAGTTTCCTTTTTCATCAGTCGAACGAATAGATCAAAATATCCATCGGAATAAGAACAAATAGTCATGTTCATGAAATATTTTATTTCTTATTTTGATGCGTAGGTACTATTGAAAATGCTGCTTTCAGACATGGTATAGTCCGATTAACTTTTGAGACATCCATATTTGATAGCTATACGTATTTTAGGGAAGAAATAAGAGGTGAAGCGTAGTGAACCTGCGATATCATTTTCTTTGTCGAAATATTTATTTGTATACGTGAAAACGGAGAACATTTTCAACAAATTTCGAGACATATCTGTTAATTGTTTCAATATTAACTGATGCTTTAGATTACTGAACTAGAATTTTTGACTGACTAGAATTTGAATGCATAATATTCAATTTTTTTGGGATATTGCGAAACAACTATTTTTATTTCTTAATTTCAACGCCCTGTATCTCGAGAACTGAACACTTGAAGATCGTATGCCCCTATCTCAGTGATTATGAAATCACGAGGTCTATCACCTGTCAAGCGTTGCCGGTCCAATTTCTCAACACCCTGTATAGCTCTCGCCTACTAATTATCTAACTAGGTTGTCGTCTAGAACGACAATGTCTAAACATCACCTGGGTTTGTCAAACTTGAGATCATAAGAACAGTGTCAAAATTACCCGTCAAAATGTCCAAAGATCTAGATGAGAATTACTTCTACAATAGCATGCTAGCACAAGCATTGGTGCAGCTTCTGGCTCCAAACGGTAAAGAAAACGAAATTTTATGTAAGCTCTATCTTCATCATCTGATTATGATTTAAGAACGCAAGATTATACGGACCTGGTTCACGAAACTGTTGAGCCTAGACAATACCAGTGAAGAAAAAGAATTGAGGAATGACTATATGTGGTTCATCCTGTTGATGTTGCAATGTCAGAAAATCCGTGAACCTTTCAATTCAATCCCACCTCCTGATCTTGGACCATTGAGAGACCTAGTGGTAGGTGTATGATGATATAACAAGTGTTCGAATGGAAAACAACAATGGTAGAGGACAAGGGAAGAAAGTCTATACTTTCCTGAGGGGCAATGCCACTCGGAACATTGCATTACATCATGTTTGTTCATTTTATGGTAATTTTGCACTTATCATGCGATGGGTTTTTTTTCCGAAATTTTTTTTTTGTACTTACGTATTTTTGTCTGAAAAACACGAATTTGATAATGAAAATGTGAACAAAATAACCATTATTTATCAAGATATTTCACTATAAAGTTACAAATTTCACCTTCTTTTCCGCCTGTCCTTGGATCGCATTTAGAACAATTTGCCCTTCTTTTTCCATCATTGGACAATGTATATATATCACACAATGTTGAACACATTTTTTTCATTATATGAGTCAACTAGAAATATGATTTTCTTGTGAATTTATCCATGTTTAGTGAAAAGAAGGAAGAATATCATTTGAAATAATGGCGTGTGTAATGTCATTCCAAAGCAATCTATTGACATTTGACATCTCGTATTTGAATTGCCTATGGATTAAATGGCCGTCATCTGGTATGCTTGCTCACTAAATAGGAAAAACTCGCCATAAAAATCATATTTCCTGTTGAATTTCCTAGCTTAAAATGTGTCATTGAAGTACATCATGAGTATATAAAGTAGGTATCCAATGACGAAATAAAAATAGCAAGTACCTGTAAATGCATCCAACACAATGGGGAAAATAAGGCAAAATTTCGAACTTTTTCTTGAAATATCTCGATAAATAGTGGTTTGTTCACATTTTCATTATCAAATTCGTGTTTTTCAGACAAAAATTCGTGAGTACCGAAAGAAATTATTTTCGAAAAAAAAACCATCGCATGATAAGTGCAAATTTACCCATTTTATTGAAAACTTGAAATTATTATTCCAGTTTTTTGAGATTTTCTTACCTCGTTTCTATAAAATGAAAATATGACTATTATTTCGATATACGTGTAGTGAGGACAAATAAGATGATTTGCCCCAAAATTTCACTGCGTTAAAAGAATTTCCCTATCAGAGGGCCTAAAAGAAAAATTCACCAGCTGGTCAGTGACAATTTGTATTGGAAAAGGTTCGTAGAAGAGAAATATGAAGGTATATAAAATATCAAATTTTCACTCAGCTTTGGACGTTTCGGGAACGAATCTGCTCTCGTTTTCAACATAAAAAATGGTTATTGGAATAGCAAATTCGTATTTGTCATGAAAACTTTCTCTCAGTTCTCAGTGACAATTGGTGACGTTGGCAATCAAATGAGTAACAGGATGTTTTCAATAATCAATCTTGAATTTACCATCTTCATTTCCAGATTCCAATAGGAAATACCTTGTTATATCTATATCAACTGAACAGGAAGCAATGCTATTGTCTCCGTTCAGAAGAATGCAAGCAGATTCCTTGATTTTTTTCTTCTGGTTGTTATCTTCTCATCCAATGATTTCAATATTATTCCACTCTGCCATATGTTGTCCATCTTCAGTAAGGATATATTCCGCTAGTTTCGATTTGTCGATGTATCTTTCCTTTATATAGTACTTATGTTCCTCCGTCCTTACTGAAAGAGGTCTCTTGGTTTCACCTGTATAAAACTTTCCACAAACTCATTTGATTGCCAACGTCACCAATTATCACTGAGAACTGAAAAGTTTCAAGACAAATACGAATTTGCTATTCAAATTACCATTTTTATGTTGAAAAGAGGAGCAGATTCGTTCTCCAAACGTATATATACCTTTATTTCTCTTCTCCAAACCTATTTCAATATACAAATTGTCACTGACAAGCTGGTGATTTTTCCTTTTAGGCTCTCTGATATGAAATTTCTTTGAACACAGTGACATTTTGGGGCAAATCATCTGATTTGTCCTTGCTACACGTATATATTATATTTTATAGAAACGAGGAGAGAAAATCACAAAAAATATGGAATAAAGAATGTACCACCTCCTCGATTAACCTACAGAGAGTACTCGAAATTACCTACTTCGAGATTCTGATTCATTATTGAAATTCCATTACACTTTTTGTAGTTGGTATAGTACAGGAAGCCGAACATCTAACATTTCGTTCTCTTTCAGCCGACGAAAGTGTATGAAGAAGTTCTGGTAGCGAACGACGACAATATGCCGATATTTGATAAAGGAGATAAGAAAGTTCAGTTCAAGCAGTCAGCTCCAGCACAATTTTTCAAGAATCAACCTTTGCCCCACGAGGGTATAATTTGCTATATGTCTGCCTTCAGCGATAGAGGATTGTGATTCTTTCGAATTTTTGATTGGACGAAATTCAATAAAAATGATATGATAGTCATCTTTCGTTTCAATACAAGTATAATGTGTATTATTTTGAACTTACGTGAACTCAACATTCAATGTGTCGACCCTAAAGGCTTACCATCTTTGTGGAATCGTTATTTCTTGATCTGTGTCTTGATACATTTTTTGCAGTACTCTTATTGAAGAAGTTGAATTAAATGTTGGTATATGGTGATTATCCGGTTGAAATTCACCTTGTTCGCAAAGATGGTATGATTAATATGTATGTTGCTCGGCCACATTATTTGTGTAGGAGCTGAAGTTGAGGTTTAACTCCTAGGAACTATACTAATGAGTGATACCTGACATCTGTTAACGGATAGCTGATGACGCTAATGTGCTCTTAAACCATATAATGGTGGATAATTTACTTACAACAATTATTTTGAGAAGGAAAATATTTATTTGTTTCACTACGCAGCAAAGCAGTAGATTGACTGCCGCGGCTAATAGTTCATATCGAACTACTTTCTATGTCGCTTGGAGAAAAATAATATTCAAAGCAATATTCAACATGAAAATTCAGAAGGTGAATATCTCATAAGCAAGAAGTTTTTATCGCTACCATAGCAACTAAACAAATTTCTGGTCATTTTTTCCTCTTCCATGGGGGAAGGAGCATTTCACTAGACATTTTTTGACGTTTATAGGTGAAATCACATCATTATTCAACTTTAGATTACGGCGAATTCATTACTATGAGTTGAAAAATTCCTTGGAGGAAAATATATTTGTTCCAACTTTTTTTTTTCTCCAAATGTAATAAAACAGATTTTGTGTAATTAGTTATTGAAAACTTCACCATTTTGTGTTCCCCAATGTCTGTGTCAATTTTGATTACCGATTTTATTCAAATTACTTGGACGTTGCATAGAAACATTTTTTGCTGCCTGTATAGGCAGAAAAAGTACACCTTTGCTGCCTGTTAAGTGTCATGGAAATGCCACTTTCAATGTATTTGAAAAATAATAATTTTTTCTCTTTCGGATCAGGAGTGCTCGACTTCGCTATCGCTGTATACAATTATTCATGTGTTCTAGTTCAATGATAATTAACTATATTTAATCAATAAAATTAGAATTACGAAGAATATTTCCCTCATATATTGGTAATGGCACTGCAGCGCGAAGATTGCACTGCGAAGAGATTCCGTCGCCATAATAACACATTCATCAAGTAAAGTGATAAAAATGTTAGTGCTCCATACAATCTATATATAGGAAAGTATGAATGAAAGTGAATAAAAAAATACCAAAAACAACAGACAGAACTCCTCACTTTGTGAAATATTTCAATGAATTACATTCGTGCATAAAAATGACCAGACAATTTCTTAAACAAATTGCATTCGTTTATTTTCATATTTTGTAAAAGAGCCCTCCTCCTTTGGATTCGTGCCCTTTCTCCAAAATATGAAAATAAACTCATGCAATTTTTAGATAACAGGCTTTCTCGCAAAATTATCGATAATTTTATGACTAGTGCAATAACAACCGAAAATTTTCATTCACTTCACGAATACAAATATTGATGATGAACTAGTCAAGAGAGTTTTCACATCGCAAATCTTGTCAAATTATGAAAATTATACGTGTCAAGAAGGTGTCAAGCTATCGTGTAGTAGTCAAGTATTATAGTAGTTATCTTAGCCCTAGCTTAGCTTTAGACTGATATGTCTCTAGGCTTTAGGCCATCGATATACACTGGGTGAAAACATTTCGAAAACTCAACAGAAACTACAAACGTCACCTTCAGAATCTCTCAACATCATTCTCTCAACCCTTGTCAAAATCACGAGAAGTTTCTTTCATTATTTCATTGCACATAAAATGTAAAAGTGGAGTAGAATAGCATGGCTAATCCTATAAAGGCACTGAACGAGCATTTCTTATATAATTGCAAACTGGCCAAGGCTTTACAGCAACTCCTTTTACCAAATGGTGAGTATAGAATACTCTTATCTTCTGAATTCTCTTTGTACTCGGACATTCTTATTCAAATACATCATGAATATATCATATATAGGTATAGGTATGTATATAACATTAGAAAGTTCAAAACTCCATATAAACAATATGTTTTGTGAAAGTAAGAAAAATGGTGAAGTGAGCTGTCTTAACGGTTTATTCAAAAATTTATAAAGACTGAAGTGAAAATATCACACCAACTCTGGCATTTTTAGCTATTTTGAAAAGTAATTATTGTATCGAAAATATTGCGAATCAAATGAATGCAAGAATGAGCAAAAGCATCTCAAAAGAAAACAACATAGAGACAGTGTGAAAAATACTAAAGAAAATCAATAAATATAATGGATAGAAATCTTTAGATGTAGTTCATCATCGTTTAAAAAGACTATGTAATTTTCATTATTTTCAGAAAGGAAGCTGATAGAGCTATGGTTCGACAAACTGTTGGAAATGGATAAAACCGTTGATCAAATGATCATACGAAGTGATTACATGTGGTTCATTCTATTAATGCTGCAAAGTAAGAAAGTTAAAGAGCCATTTACGAGATTGCCCCCATCGAACTTGCTTCCCTTGAAGAAATTTGTGGTGAGAGAAATTATTCGAAACATAATGGTTCATAAGCATATTATCGTTGTTTTGTAATGATGACCATTCTGTATATCACAGCATAATTTCTGTTGTTGAAAATGGAAGAATATTATATGCAGGGTTCAGTTAATTGATGGCTGAAAAAATAAAGGATATGGTTCGATAGCTCATTTTGAGAAGAAAACTTCATATGAGCTTTCGAGATATGAATGATTACATATAATATTATCGATTACGTCGTGGTCTCATCTTGACAAGAAGTTCAAAAAAAATTCCAATACCTACCTCCTGTCCCTATCCTCCCTAGGAACGCACGATGTTCTTTGACCATTATAGGAATTCCCTTTCGTGCGCTCCAAGCGATAAAAAAAATCCATGAACGAAAATCCATGAATGAGGAGAATTGAAAATTTCAACATCCTATAGCTCGAAAGTTAAGAGCAGGTTTAGGGCATATATTCATATTTTTTTTCATGTTCTGGTTCCCACGAAAAGGAATATCCTGTAATGTTCAGAGAACATCGTGAGAACCAAGGGAAATAAGGTAGGGATTGGTGTTCTTCTTAAATTTCTAGAGGATATATGCCTCGGGGAACACCTCCCTTGGCAATGTGTTCCAGAACCTCGCTGTTCGTTAGATGAAGGAGCTATATAAGAACTCATATCCTAAATTTTTGCCATCAATTGAATTACACCCTGTATATTTGTTTCAACATCGTTAATTTCAAATTTTGAATTTCAGCGACTGCATATCTATGAAGAAGTGTTGATTGCCAACGAACCCAATATGGTACTTTCTGAACCTAGAAGGATAAGTAGGGATAGCATTTTCTCAGAAGTAGAGATGATTACAGCAGCTACATCCTGTTCCTCCATTAAACATAGCAAATGACCAATATACATTAGTTTCATTTCATGTTGAAATAATCTTATAACAATAACAATCATGGAACACTTGAATTATTGATAATAACATCTTATGAAGAACATTGAATAAATTCAACACATTGGAGCGATATTATTTGGGAGTTGAAAAATATTATCTATGGTTTAGCAAAATCAAAAACTTGAATTACATTGAGACCTTTCGAGGAATTCCATTCTAACACAAATAAACACTCACTTCCTACAATAATTTTTCTCTGATATGCATATCTTGAAAAATGTTACATATTCAAATCAAAGGAAAGTGGGAGATTCAAACTTTGTAGTACCTATATCCTAAAATATATTTCGTTTCTCCAATTCTATTTTCAGAAAAAGTCATGCACTGGGTATAAATTTATCCTGTAAATTGAAGTTACTACAGAAGAGTACCTAAATAAAAAACTAGTATACAAACTATTGAGATTCAAGTTTTTGCAAACTATAGTGCAAAAACTAAAGTTAGTGATAAAGATTCAGCTTGGTTCATCAGGATATCCATTGGTATCAGTGTTGAAAATTCACAGGTAAGTGAACGGTTATCATTATATCGTTCAAATATTGATGGAAATATTCAATGGAAAATCAGTTTCATAGTCACCTTAACAATGTATATACAAATTGCTCATTTAACTCTTGATATATATACACATAACTTCCTCGAAATTCTAGAATTCATCATGATTCTCGTGTTCTTTTCTGGTCTGCTGTTAAATGAATTCGTATGTTTTTTTCTCAATACGTTCATTGAATCTTTTGTCATTATAGCAAATCATATATTCAATCTTTTCCAAGTTTCTGCATAACGGCCTGTGAATATCAGAAGCATAAAGAGGGAATTTGAGCAAGTGTCCACACTAGATTCTCATATTTTTTCAACATCAACTATTTTATTCATCTATCTCATCGATTTTTGAAAGATACATGTCTATAATTCTGTGCATTGAGACCAATCGGAAATTAATCATCAGTTAGTTTCAACACGAGAAGAGGAATAGGCAAAGATTTTGAGAAAATAAGGCTATAGGTGTATACAGTGTGACTGTTTTTGCATCTCCATATTGGCCGGTGGCCCCATCCTGGCAAGTTTATTGGACCAATATGGAGCCAATATCCAGTTAAAATTCGTGAGCACACTGTGTACGGTATGTAATAAAACAATATCGATAATAGTAGACGATGTGATGTTCTAGAACACTTGAGACTCCATGAACAATTGAATTGAATTGAATTCGAGAGATTCATAATTTCGAGAATCGAGAATTAGGAGTAGAAATTCATGCAAATTCCAAGTAGGAATAAGAATATTATACATGGTGTTTCAGAAATCAGTACCAAGATTCCAGGGGTATGATCTTTTATCAAAATAAAACTAGTTTTTTCATAAATATGTGCCCCCAAACGGCTCGTTACCGATCTACAGAGAGTCAAAATTTCAAGATTTTTTCCTTGTTTTCTTTATAGCTCTTTCAGTTTTTGAGATATTCAGATCAAATTTGGAACATAGGTTACGTTACAGCTTTCTCATCATATAGTATGCCGAGTGGTAAGAATCTACATTTCTTGAGAGGTCAAACCCTTTTTCGCTCCACGAACTTTTTTATGGTGTGCATCCCACTGGTCGATTTTGAGATAGGTACGAAATGACTTTTTGTCCATGATCCCATGTATGCCAGGCCTTCGTTGATTTATGAAAGCTGAAAGTTTATCAGCACATGCTCCCAATACAGGTAAGATCGATGGGCCAATATGAAGTTTAGGTCATGTTGCTTTTGGGAAGTTATACAAATACCTACTTACTTTCGTCATACTATAAAGGGTCATTTTTTCATATTTTATCGAAGATAATATTAGAAACCACGTCATCCATTACCAGACACGTTACCATGGTGGCTACCCTTTGCCAGACACCCTTAAACCTTGATGAATCGTAACTTAACTTCCGTTAAAGTTCAAAAGCTGAATTATATGTTACTTGGGTTGCTTCATACACTTTTTCGTCTCTTGTAATTTTATGCATGTGCGACCGTTATCGAGTGAAAAAAATTTGTTTTTTCAATGCTTGATTGAATTATTGAATTACATTTCTTAACAAAAGGAAGGAACCTATACAGGGTGAGTCATGAGGAACTGTACAAACTCCTACCACGAATAGAGGACCCTGAGGGGAATACCTAATGTTCATCAGAAAATGTCTTCTACACTTATTTTCCAATATAAAGGGGGAATTATGAGATTTGGCAGAAACATATTCTGGTAATTACTTTCCAACAGCTCCTTTGATTCATCTGATTTTTCCATGGAATATTTCACTACTACTCTCTAATCGACTGACTTATTCAGAATCGGAAAAATCCAGGACCGTTCTTGGAAAATTTTGATAGTTCAGTGTAAAGCAAAAAGTTCATCCTGTATATCGTTTTTGTATACTATGACACGAAATTTCCAAAGGTCACAAACAAATATCAAAAATAAAATATTTAAAATTTTCCTCACACTCTCCCTGAAGTTTGAAAAAACTATCAATGGTATGAAAAAACATAAATTTGGCAAAAAAAATTGTTTATTTGTGGATTAATACTTCGCAACTCATGAATTTCACGAATGAAAGTCAGACTTACATTTTCAATGTTTCAGCTTAATGGAAATCAACATATTATTTCATTTTCAGGCTTGGATTCAGTACTTGAATTTTTTGTGGACGATAAGAATCACCCTGTAGATCTTCTTCGAATCAGTGGATGAGGTATATGTGAAAATGTTGATGGCCATCGCTATTGATAATTTCATGATTTCAGTTCACAGTTTTATCTATTCGATTTGTTTTATTGAGTTAGTTTGGTTACTTATTTTCCATACTAGGATTGATTATCCGCCTTTGTCAGTATAGTTTCTGAAAAGTAATTGTGATTAAACCTTTATCTCCTGTTTGACTATCTTGATTTATTTGAATCGATGACCATAGCCATTTACATCTAAACAGATACTCGATACACTGATTTGAGAAAGATCTACAGGGTGATTATTACCTTCCAAAAAATGAAACGACGAAATCCAGGCCTGGATATAGAAGAACATGTTGATTTCCATGGGGTTGAAGCATTTGAAATGTGAGTCTTATTTTTATTTGAGAAATTTGTGCGTCGTATTTATTTTCGAATGAATAAAATTTGTTGGCAAACTTTCGTTTTAGCTTATAATTCATCGTTTTTGGAGAAACTCTGTGAAAGTGTGAGGAGAATTTTGAATATATTATTCTTGATGCTCGTTTGTGTGCTTTGAAAATTCCCTGTCACAGCTTACAAAGACCATATACAGAATGAACTTTTTGATAAAAACTAAATTATCGAATTTTTTTAAAAACGGTCCTGGATTTTTCCGATCCTGAATAGGTCAGTCAATTAGGTTAGGTAGAGGAATATTTTATGGAAAAATCAAACGAATCGAAGGACCTGTTGAAAAGTTATGACCAAAAGATGTTTTAGCCCAATCTTATAATTCACCCTATACAGGGTGTTTCCTAACTACGGTTCCTAACTGCAGGTGGTGATTCGTTAGGTCATTTCAGGAAGAAAAGTTCCTATGAACATATGTCCAGAGTTGCTTCGTTTTTGAGATACAGGGTGAAAAAAAAATAGTAATTACAAAATATCAAGAAGAATCTGGAAGCGATTCGGTTGAAATTTTGTACCTCTATTTGAACTAATAAGGCGCTTATTCAGCCCTATTTTGATTGAAATTATTGGGGCTAGTGACGTAGCAGTGGGCGCCACAGCCAACAATATTGTAAAAAAAAGTACGCCACTGACTTTTCTTGAAGAATTTCTATTTTTCTCAGATTGAGCAACTCAAAATACAACTTTTTGGTTTCCTGTATTTTATTCATATCCAGCTTCGTTTCCGAGAAAAAAAATTAAAGCCACTGTATTGCATATCATGAACACCTGCATTGGAGAAATGAGTTCTTCATTATTTCCGGTAAAAATATAATTGAAACTTGATATTCTGAAATTTTAGAGAATTTCAACCAAATCGGTTCCAGGATATTTATGATATTTTATAATATTACCGTTTTTTTCTTCTTTAATTTCAACGCCCTGTATCTCAGAAACGAAGCAACTCCGGACATATGTTCATAGGAACTTTTCTTCTAAAAATGACCTAACAAATTACTTCCTGCAGTTAGGAGCCGTAGTTAGGAAACACCCTGTATATTGGTGAAGAAGAGAAGAAGACACTTTCTGACGGTCATTAGGTATTCCCTTGTACAGTTCCTCATGACTCACCCTGTATTATCCCAATGAAAACAAAAAACGCAACATATTCAGTTTGTGATCTCAATTAAAAGTTTCCAAACACCACCTAAAGAATAAGAAACCTAACAAACTTTGACTTTTTAAAAATGGTGCTGGAAAATAAAATTATCTTGAAACTTCAACGCCTTCGAGATCTGTTACGAAGCGTCTGCGGACCCATATTTATAAAAAAAAAGTCTTAGTTCGACCTGAAAAATGATTCCCAGAAATCTTGATCCCTTGGTTCCCACCATGTTCTCTGAACATTAAAGGATATCCCTTTTTGTGGGAACCAGAACATGAAAATAGATCATCTTGTTTTTTCAGAATGTATTGGTACCTTTTCCCCACCTTAGCATCAGTGCTAATTCAAGGGCACCATGGCCACGTGGCAATGGATCACAAATTGGGCCGATCTCACATCTACGAATCTCCAGAAAAATACAACATCCCTTCACCTCATTCAAACCCCAACAATGATGGGGAATCTCCAGTGCCAACAGGGCGATCAAGCGGGCCTTTCGTAGGCAGTTGCAAAGGGGGCGCTGTTTGTGTGCCCTTTGTGGCGTGTCCTGCCCATGTGAGGTCTGAAGAGAAGGAGTACTGCGAGACTTTGGGAGGCAGAAAAGGAGTTTGTTGCACTACCGGAAAGAATCATACAAGTGAGTATTTAGTAATTGATTTTCCTATACATTCATATTACGTACAGTTCACTCTTTAAATGCATTCATTTTCCTACGAGCGTGATGAAATAGTATATCACACACCGAGGTGGGAAGTGATTCATTCCTGTCGTGAGATTAGTTAGTTATAATCTTAGCTATAATCTCGAGACAGGAATGAAAGTCCCTACCGAGGTTTGTATACAATTTTATTTACAACCATCATATTTCGATCAAATTTGTAATGACAACATTACATATTTTTACAGTTGTAAATAAAGTTTTACTTTTCCGTGCGATTTTACTTTCACGCACGATTCTTCAATTCTTTGCAGGATTTTCACTTTTCCGTCGTGCGAAAATAGTATATTGTTTAACAAGCACAGAATGATAGTGATTTCCCATGAGAATGAAGTTTCGCCTACGGCTCATGCAGCAATCATTCGAGTGGGAAATTAGCATTCCGTGCACACTATAATTTTTCTACGGCTGTAACAGATAACAAAGGCATTTTTGATATCTTCGTCTTGTAGCTATCTGATTTCCTGTCTAGTAATGCTCATCTACTAGACTGAACTGTCAATGCTTGAAATTTGACATTCCATGCGCGATGAGATTTTTTTGAAAAAATAACACAATGGAGTCATTGTGATATCAGATACGGAAATACAATTGATGGCATATACAAACTACCTCATTGATGTATCGAACATAGTGAAACAAGATCAATTTTGTGTTATAGCGGTAGAAATAAATTGCTCTTGTTTCACTGTATTCGATTAACCTACAGACAGTATCAATGAGGTACTTTGTATTGTCATCAATTTTATTTCCGTATCTGATATCGCAATGACTCCATTGTGTTATTATATCAAGAAAATCTTTTCGCTCATGGAATGTCGAATTTCAATCAATGACAGCTCTGTCTGATAGATGAGCATTACTTGACAGGAAATCAGATGGCTACAAGACAAAGAAATCGAAAATGCCGCTGTTATCTATTTTAGCCGTAGAAAAATGATAGTGTATAACTTGCACGGAATGCTAATTTCCTACACGAATGATTGCAGCATTCGCCAATGGCTCATGCTACAAACTTCATTCTCAGAACACCCTATATATATATATATTATTCAATTTTCGGAATCTCCATGAAACACTGAACTCAAACATATATATCACACATTGTGTTTGTGTACATACGGTGGACAGTACAGTATAGTCGACAAATTCATGAAAATTTTTGTCAATTCTCCAACAGAAATCATTCTGTATATATTAAGGATTTCGACAGCATGCCTGAACGAAAATGAAATTCGATGGCTTCGAGCGTTCTCTCCAAAAATCATTCGATTAACCTTTTTCGAATTTTTTCACCAACTTTATGAGAGCACAGATTATAACTGATGCACTATATACACATCCCGTGTGTGATGTATTTTTGGATGAAGTTTTCCATGGTGAACCCGAGAATTTAATAATATATAGGGGTGTTGCATTTCAAACAACTGTAGTGCAAATTAAAATTCAAAATCGACCTGTTTCGGAGATCCTCCAGATATGGATAGATTGGCTGATAATGAATTTATTCAGTATACTTCACGAAAGCACTGTATATACAGGGTGTTTGGATCACCGACGTATTTCTGGGAAGATGTGGTAGGTAAAGTAATAATTGCTGCACCAGGTATGTATGAGAAAGAGGTTTCAATAAAAAAACAGTTGATACACCAATGTTCAGAAGGAGATTAACAATCATTCAGAACAAAAAACGTTCAAATTGAATAAGTAGTTTTGACGAAAATGGATCTCAAACTTTTGACTACTTCTTGGTGGTACGTTAATTTTTGGGAGAAGTGTATGTTACAAGAGCATTTCAATCTGAATTGAGAAGAAAATTCAAAAAATATGTATGGATATTTCTACTTTCTATTTACGAATTCTATTTTGAAAACTTTTCAAAAACTAAATATCGAAATTATTTCATATTATCTAATGAAATGTCCTAATCCGAATTTTTTTCCAGAACCATTCACAGCCAAAGATCGCCATCACCGTTTCGTGAATTTGGACCAAGCTACATTGAAGAGCCTTAATCGCAAAAGTAAAGACGAGATGGATTTGCTTCGAGCCAGGTAAAAATTTGTGGCCTTCCAGTAGGAATAGTTCTACTTTTCATTCAGAAATACATCATGAATCAATATTCAGTATATTGAAACAATTACCATTCAATAAGTCTCTTTTGTCTGAACACTATGACTATAGCAACTACAACTTGTCATTATTTTATGTCATTGATCATATCCTATTTTACAGAGCGTATACAAAATATTTAGCATAAAGTAAAGTAATATCAGAATTGCCTCATAACATAACATACATTGAAGAAATCGTGGAGTACCCATTTAGTCGTTAACGATTTTCAAAATTTCACACAAAAAAAGCAGTGATTTTCGTATCAATTCGTTCCAGGCTGAAATACTATAGTAGTGAGACTTGCGACGTTCTCATATTCTACAATTATCATGATAGGGATTTCATGTACTCCACCATTGGTAAATTTAAAAAAAAGGGACTGGTCACACAGCAAATCTCTAAATATATTTGATTACAAAATATGGTGAATGCGCTTCATATAAAGTTTTGGCGAAGGCACATATCGACAATAATTAAAACTGATTATTGATACTACCCATCTCCATCATTGATATTAATATGATATTATTACATTGCATGTATGTGCAATCGTATTGCATGGATTGTATATTTCCTCTTCAACTGCTTCAATCCGCTCTGACAAAGTAATTTATTTTCAGGGAAGCCAAACTGCTGATTTCCGCAGAGCCAACCATCCTTCTACCTGGGTCAGCTAGTTACAGCCATTTCAGGAACTCGAGAAGATTCGACCATCTTGATATAACAGAAGTCACTGATGTAGCCAGCAGAGCATTGGAGATTGCTATCGCTACCAAAGCTTTCAAGGACAGGCAAGTCGATATCACAAAGAATACCAGCATTCATTCTTATTATACTGTAAATATCATGACCGATCCACTCGAACACCCAACATTCAACGCAACTATTGCATCAACATCCAAACGTCATCATCTCAACTGATCAACAACTCAATCTTTGGATTCTTGAACTCAATCAATGTCTACACCAATCGAATTAAACACTTCAGTGCTCAACTCATCAACAATCCAATGCTCCATAACACCCATTGTATAAACACCATAGACATTAACTATCTAACTACCACACTGATTGATTACTTAAGTCATCAGATAGCCATTTCATCAACATCCAACTTTTCAGTCAACATATCATCATCAACAATATTATTCGTCAATACAGCCAACTCTATATCCAACTCATCAAAAACTCCTAAAAAATCAAGAGATATGACAGTATTCTACAACTGGTCGAGGAGTTTCGAAAAAAAAAAAAATAGTATGATTATAATGATGATAATAATAATAATAATTCACTAGCCCCAGTTATGTTTCGAATACATTTTATATGTATGTGTATATACAACGTTTTCAAAAAAAGTACAATATGGATATAAAAAAAATCAAAGGTGTCTCGTCAAAAGGAGGAGTCAAGAAATTCATCATGTGAATAGAAGGCATTGTTCAGTAAATTTTTCACTATTGCAGCTCTGAATTTTCTGATTGGTGTATAGTTCCTATCCATTGGAAAAGGAAAGCTTTCAAGAGTAAAAAACGGATTCGATTTCTAGTAATACTATACAAGTGCTATGAAGAAAAGTTGAATGGCGAAGATGTAGTAATAAGAAGATCAACAACTTTTCTTTCCACACTTTTTTCGCATAAACTCAAAATGTATGTGAAATATTCGAATAACCAAGTTTTTGTTTTTTTGTTTTCATCTTTCACAGAAACCATAAATTTTCACCAAATTAGGTAAGAACTTAACTCTTCATGTCCCAAATCCATTGAAATATTTTTTATTTCAAATATTAACTTTTTGACTTTATTATGACTCAATATCGAAAAAGCACCATAATTTTCGATCGAAATTTCTCGCGTCAAAATATATGCTTTTTCAAAAAAAAGTCGGAGAGATTTTTGTTTGTTGAAATCTCTACTTACTGATGGTGTGAAAAACATATACATTACTCGGGTAAATATTCTCAGAAAACGCAAATATACGAAACTCAAATCCGATTTTTAAAAAAATCATATTCACAATTTTGAGCTATTTATAAAAATAATTAACAATAATTACTCGAAAAACGTGAGATTCCATGTAAGGTTGATGCGAAAAAAAATTTCGAATACATAAAACTTTAAGATTGCAAAACGCATGAGGAAATAGTTTTTTTAAATAATAAACATAGGCTGTGAAGGAGAATTCATCTAAAAATATGGCTGCAGCTTTTTCGTTTCTTTGCATCTTCTGAGAACTTTTTCCACAGTGATGTATATATTTTTTCCCACCATCAGGAAGCAGAGATTTCTGCGAACAAAAAGCTCATCGACTTTTCTGAAGAAGCAGATATTTTGACGCAAGAATTTCCGATTAAAACTTAGGGTGCTCTTTGAATATTAAGTCAAAATAAGGTGAAGAAATAAATATTCCGAATCGAGAAAATCACAGTGTATGTGGGACATGAAGAGGTAAGTTTTCAATATATTCCATGTGAAAATATATTTTACTATGAAAAATAAAAATTAAAGATAAAAAATTTGATTATTCGAATTTTTCACATAAATTTTGAGTTTATGTGAAAAATGTGTTGATCAAAAGTTATGAATTTTTTCATTACCTACAACTTTGTTATTCAACCTCTACCCATAGGACTCGTAGTTTTGCTGGAATTCGGGATAACCCGTTTTTTACCCTTGAAAGCTCACCTCCTTCCAATTCCCGGCGTCAGATCGCCCGTAATGATTTTCCCTCCATCTTTATTATATTCTATAATTTTTCCAATGAGATTCATTCTACTATTTTTTCTTTCCACTTTAAACCATTTCCGAAGGTTTCAGCACTGACCTGAATCTTCATGATGTTATTTTCTAAATCTGATCCCATTTAGAATTTTATTTGAATATCTCCATCTAGGGAAGGTGTGAGTAACCTCGAATTGGAGATGGGGATGATACAGGAAGATCTGCGTTCAACTCCATTGGGACACACGTGTCTTCTGAAGCCTAATTGTCCTGAGGTACCTGAGAAATATCGCAGGATTGATGGATCTTGTAACAACAGATACAACTCCTTATGGGGAGCTACAAGAACTCCGTATTCCAGGTTGCTGCCTCCTAGTTACGATGATGGTGAGAATTTTCATGATAATATCCTGATTGAACTGAATATTGATCCACTGATTACAGTGGAAATTTCACACCCAATATTTTCGACCAATCTAAAACCTGTATTTTGTATCGTTACCATAGCCATTGAACATATTTCTTGAAAGCGTTTCCTGCTTTTTTTCATTTGCAGCCTCGAAAAAATAGTTAATTCATGTTCAATAGCTCCGGTTTTGAAACCCTTCGTGGAAATCATATGAAATTCCACATATGGGGGTTTGAAATCATGAAAAACAATATTATGAGATCAGTTTTCTTGTAAACGAATTCTTAATATGATTTTGTTTGAAATTAACTCCTTAACAAAAACGCAAGGCACTGTCTAAAATCTAAAATGATGTTCGTCTCTGAAAAACTGTTGAAATTGATAATTATTCATACCAATCCAAAATTGGTGGAGATCGCACGATTTATAGTTGGGATATAAAGAGGGGGCCGTTTGGAATGAGTCACATTGTATAAAATGAGAAATTTTGGAAGGCATAGAAATATTCCTTCGCATTTTTCACAAAATATCTCAAAGTCATCTCACTTTTATTTGACTGATGAGATAAGATGAAGGATTTTTTGAAGAATGTTCCTGAAATATTAGCGCTAATGTGAGATCATATATCATTTTTAGTAATCTCACTTTCCATTGTCATCATCATCATTTCTATGAATTATACAGGGTACTATTCGAGTATGTGGACAAATTGATTCTAAGACGAGAAGTTTATATAAACATAGGTCCTGAAATGCTTTGGTTTCAAGATACAGTGTATCGAAGTTTCAATAAAAAATCGTTTTTTTACTAATTACTCGAAATAACATCCAATTTCAATCGAATTTGATGATTTTGTTGACAGTAACAAGAAACTTCTCTTGGTGTAATTAAATTGGCATTTATGTTGAATAAGGTACATCGTACATCATTGTTTCTTCCAAGTTCGGTATTTATTCAACCAGGCAATATTTTGCCATCATGAAAGCTTATACAGGGTATTCATGAAATTCAACAATCAATCCTTTCAACTTTATCACCATGAATCTTGAAAACGAAGCATTGTAGGACCTATGTGTGTATAAACTTTTCGTCTTAGAATCAACCAAATAATCGCCTCTTGAAGTTTTGCCTCACACTCAAATAACACCCTGTATAGTTCTGAATTTGGGACAGACAGAATATTTTACCAATATAATCATTAAAATATTGTTTCGGATATGCTGCCTGTTACCTGGGTTGGTTTGGAGTAATTTATAAATAGTATTTTCATTGCACAGAATACAATGAAACAGAATCACCACTGTTCAACTAAATCATATTATGCAGTACTTACACCAAATTATTACTATTTCAGGAATTTGGGTTCCAAGAACTTCCCAACTACCTGGCCATGATCTCCCTAGTCCCAGACTCATCACTTCTACCGTGTTCAACGAAAATTATGCATCTAACGATAAGCTTACCCTTTTGGCCATGCAGTTTGGCCAATTTCTCGCTCATGAAATAACACAGGCTCTTGATTTTACTTATGGTAAGATTTTGACTAGGTTTAGAGACTATAAACTTCTAAAAGCTTGAATAAAACGCCAGATAACTGCCGATATTGGTACCCTATGGTTTTTGTCAACTTGTCAACGATTATGTAATGGATGTACAGTCGTATTAAAAAAAAGTGTACAAGTATATTGGAGAGAAAAATCAACGTCATCCTATTTGCGTAAAACGGGCTATCGGGAATGGATTTTTACCAAATGTTGACAGTAGAGTAATCATAGGTTCTCAAAAACACAAAGCATTGCCTGAGCTAATTTTACACAATCAGAACTAGAATGCCGAAATCTTCTATGTTTATTACTTGTACGCTTTTTTATTGAATTCGACTGTATGTCTTCTACATAATCATGAAACTTTAAAGAAAGAATACAATACAATCGTACTACTTAGGTATTTTCTTCAGGTAATGGCAGTGCAATTTCATGCTGTTCTCAAGATGGTCTTCACAGTATTGCCCCCGAGAATCGTCATTTTGCCTGCATGCCGATAGAAATGTCACCGAGTGACGGCTTTTTCAAAATCTACAAGCAAGGATGCATGAATTTTGTGCGCTCTGTTTTGGCACCACGAGAAGATTGTACTTTAGGATATGCCCAACAGGTAAAATAATGTGAAATTTTTATATCGCTACTTCAATGTGGAGACCAACTAACTTTCCAAAAATTGAAACTTATGCCTTGTCAATGGTCAAGAAGAGCGGGAACTATAGAGCTTATAGTAATTACGATGTGAAAACATGTTTTTCCACCACTAGCTACAGAACCTACCATTATCAACTCCTTTTCGAGGCGTAAAGTGGATTTTACCAAGGTAGTTCTCGTCAATTTATGACAATTCGTCAATAGAGACATATCCACCTCTGTTATAATTAACCCGAATTCACTGTTCTGATGCGAGATTCACAGGAGTGGCACTCGAATCTAGTAGGTTTTATCAATAACGACTTGTCCTATATGCTGTCATGGTCGTGGGTACTCGATTTCATTCAGAATTGAAAAGGAGCGTTTTCATAGTGACTCAGGTCCAAATTCTAGTGTAACAGGACTATAATGATTGAAATATATTGCCGGTGGTGGAACAAGTTCAATATACACCTTGGTAGAGAAGAATATTATCATCACGGGGTGAAGCTTCGGGATATGATCTTGGTCCATGGGTAATAGTGATATTCTTTACTACCTTGGTGTACAATAGTATATTATTAACAACCATATTATAGCTCATTATATGCGAGTTGAATACTATACTTTGTCCACGACTACTATTGTTTTTGGTATATTAATTTATTTTCAACAATTGTTCAACATGTATCATTTGACATTAAGAAAACTAAAAATTGTCCACGACTGTTGTACTTGCTCAAGCAACATGATAGCCATTTTTCACACAATGAATAATAGTGGTTACAAATCACTATTCACTGGTCTGAAGTATTTATGTTATATCGCGTACCCTAGGCCATTGAATTATTGTTATTCACTGCTATTATTCACTGTTGTAAAAAATGGCTACCATTTTGCATGAGAAAGTACATGTGTAATGATTATTTCATACAACAGTAATATAAACTGGTATAATAATATACTATCTGCTATTATTATAAGAGAATGCAAATAGTTGACGTATATTGACATTTTGAATATCGAAAAGAATGCTACAGTGGTGAATTTATGACCTCAACTAAACTAATTAACAATTAATAATATAAAGCTGAGTGATCCATTCACGTTTGGAGAAAGTATCAGTAGATTTGATTAATCTCTGGACTTCTCTGGAGACTTATTCTTCCACATAAAATATTGATCAGCGTTTTTTTCATATTTCAAGATGAACAAAGTGACCCATTTCATCGATGGATCTGTCATCTATGGTTCGTCGCCAGAACAAACTGGAGAACTTCGAAGTTTCGAGGGTGGCAAACTGAAAGTTTTCAAGGATTTCGGTAGGGATCTACTTCCTCTATCCAAGGACACAGACGCCTGTCTCACAATGGAACAGGGAACTGCATGTTTCAATTCTGGTGAGTTACTTTATTACATCAGCAGATACTGTATATGATAATAATAATAATGCTTTTATTGTCTGAACAATGAATGAACAAAAGGCAGAGTTCAACTCGCCGATAAATCGACAGTTGCTCTTCCACTCAACCATTCTTCTCAGGCATTCTCTGTTTTTACGTCCATGACAAGGATACTGATTTATTTATTTTATATACAGTTTCCCTCTTTTATCGTTGGTTACAGGAATTCATAGAATCTATGAAAGATTTAGAATTGATTAAATTCAGATGAGTTGTGCTATTCCATTTTATCATTTCGAATATCCATATAATGGAGAAGATTATCTCATGAATCATTCCAAAAAATTTCAATCGATTCCAAAATATCTCAATCCAATATTTTTTTTTTCAATATACAGCGTTTGACACTTCTAAGGGCCTCCCTCTGTATCTCAGCTATAAATCTTTTATAGCAAATTTGGACCGGTATGAAAATGAATAACCATCAATAGGCGATTCAAAATAAACGATACGCCCTCTTGTAGATATTCAAGTTACCAATGGAAAGTATATTGAATGTTTGTTTACATCCAAGTTTCCATGAATTTTATCGAAAGTTTATCATTGGTCATTGTGATATTTTCGAGTTTGAATTCTTCATTAGAGTATTGAATCATGATTGTTTCGTTGCACATGTGATTCATGATAGTTTTCTCACTGTAGGTATTTTGAAAATGATAATTTCAATCAGTGTATTATTTAAAGATTTTCTTCCAACTTCGAGATTAGAATTCAGTTGCAATTCATTCCCAAAAGTGAAAAGTTACAGCAGGAATTTCAAGAATGAATTCCTCACTGAAGATAGTTATTCGTTTTGCTAGACAGAAAAATAGTAGATTGACTGTCACGGCTGACAGTTCATTCAACAATTCAACCAAGGCAGTAAATCTACATTCACTGCCGCGTGAAACATATCATTTTTTCTCCAAATGTTATGAAACCCATTTTGTGCAGATTTTTTGTTGAAAACTCCATCATTTTTTGTTCACCCAACGTCAGTGTCAATTAGCAATTATATTGGAATTTTTCGGAACGTTGCATAGCAACAAACTTTTCCTGCCAAGGCAGTAAGGGTACACCTTTAATGCCTACCCTTTCATAGAAATTTTATGTAAATTCCCACATCGGAGACGATGAGGAACAATATAATGAGGTCACTTCTTCTGTGGAAAAAATCCTAATATGCTTTTATGAAGAACTTACCCCTTTTAATTTCAATAAAAACGCACGGCACTGTCCAAAACAATATTTGTCTATGAAAAACTGAAATATTAATGGTTTTTCATACCCGTTTTTGGTACGAATCGCACTACAAATAGCTGAGATATAGAAAGGGCTGGGCCGTTAAAGTTAAACACGCTGTATGTACATATATTCTTTCAAAATATATTTTTGTAATATATTCTATGCCATTCATCTTGATACAAAAATGAATATACAGGGTGTTTGGTTCACCGACGTATATACGGAAGGAGGTAGGTTATGTGATTTTGAACAAATTTTACCATATAAACTATTATACAAAGTGCTGTACTTTTCAAGAAATCATCGCTTACAAATTCCGCATTGGATGTTACAAAAATCGTTCTTTGAAATCCCACGAGCCAAAAAAAGTTTTTAACACATTAGATTCCATTTGGTGTTCAATATCGATGCGTATCCAACTTTCTGAGAAAAAAGAGATCCAATCAGATAAAAACACTTTGTATAATAGTATATACAGTGTGACCCACTTGAAAGCGGGACACCTCAATAAAATTTGTATTATTCCACCGATTTCGACAAACTTTTTTTTGAATTGTAGAGTTCGAAAAACTGTACTTTAGGACGAAACATATTTATATTTCTATAAAATCCAAGGCCTACTGCGTTTATTTTTAGAGGATAAAAATCAAGAAATCGTATTAGCGATTTTTTTACGAAAAATTCAAAATCACCATTAGATTCAGCACCCCCACAAATGGTTGTATACCAAATTTCATGAAAAAATATTCGATATTAATAATTTTGTGGCCAAATCAAAATTCACATTGCACCAGTAGGTATCCACTGCATACCCCCCTTGGTTATCAAATCTTGGTGAGCTGGCTATGTAATAGCCGCGCGGATATGCGAAATCGCGTGCTCCTGACTGGGCGCGAGAAACAAAAGACGATTGCTGTCACAAAGTGTTTTGGAATATTAGTAGCGTCAGATTTTGCCCGATTATTTAGAGGAATATTTGGAAGTGATTAATTATTATGGGAGAACTAAGTGTAAGAGATAAAATTGAACTTGTGCGTCTTGTCGGAGATAATGGTCTTTCAGCAAGAGAAGCTGCCAGAGAATTTCATAACAGACATCCTGATAAACTTCCAGTGAGTAGCAGTACTGTTAATCGTATTAATGCTGTTTTCAATGAAACAGGTAGTGTATCGAGGCATATGCTCAAAAACAGAAATAATCCACGTCGTGAGTATAGGAATGATGCGCGAGTATTGCAATATTTTCGGAATAATCCTCATTCAAGCTTGCGAACGGCTAGTCTGGACTTGCATATTCCTAGAGAAAATGTCAGGAGATGCCTTGTAAGGAATAAAATCAAACCATTCAAGCCAAAAGTTTTACATACTCTGGAACCGGGAGATGAAGAACGAAGATTAGAATTCTGTTTTTGGGCTCAGGGAGAATATCTGAATGATAATAACTTCTTGAACGAAATTTTGTTCAGTGACGAAGCTACGTTCACTACAAACGGAGTTGTGTCGTCCCAAAATTCAAGGTACTGGTCTACAGATAATCCTAATTGGGTTATCAATGCAAAAAGGCAGTATTCTTATAAAATGAATGTGTGGTGTGGAATACTCTATGATAAGATTATCGGCCCTTTTTTCTTTGAAGGTAATCTGAATGGAAATATATTTTTGGACTTTTTAAGCAATGAATTCTGGGACGCAATACATAATTTACCAGTACATGATCGCCTGAATTTGAAATTTCAATTAGATGGCTCTCCTGTACATAACGCAGCCTTGGTGAGAGAATGGCTGAATGATAATTACAGAAATCGGTGGATTGGTCGGAATAGTCCTTTCATTCACTGGCCGCCAAGAACCCCGGACCTGACACCACTGGATTTTTTTCTTTGGGGTATTGTGAAACAAAAAGTTTATAAGTCTAGACCGCAGTCAGTAGAAGAACTTCGTATCAGAATAACTGCAGCTTGTGCAGAAATCACGCCAGAACAACTGAGAAAAGTTATATTGAATATAAGAAGAAGATATGATAAATGCATTGCACTGAATGGCGGATTGGTTGAAACAACAAGAATTTTTTTTTTTTTTTTTTTTTATCGATTGGAGCGCACGAAAGGGAATCCCTATAATGTTCAAAGAACATCGTGCGTTCCTAGGGAGGATAGGGACAGGAGGTAGGTATTGGAATTTTTTTTGAATTTTTGGAGATTATATGTTGTTGGGAATACTTCCACAGGCAATGAATTCCAGAGCCTAGCCGTTCTATGGATGAAGGAGTCTTGATAAAGTGCTGTTCGACATCTTTCGAGGTTGACGACGAAAGGATGTGCTGACTGTGCTTGTCTAGTTCGTCTGATTGGTATGGCTAGTGAAGGGATGATTGCAGAGATTTCCGAAGAACATTTCCCGTGGAAGTATCGATAGAAAAGTGAAAGGTCGCCGACCTTTCTACGGTGTTCCAATGATGTCAAAGAGTGAGTGAGTGTGGCGTCACCCACCAGGCGAATGGCTCTTCTCTGGATGGAATCTAAGAGCATCAGCGTATGTTTTGGTGCTGAACCCCATATGTGGGAACAGTATTCTAGAACAGGCCGTATCTGCGCTTTGTAGATCATGAGAAGCTGTTGAGGTGTAAAGTAGCTTTTCGCACGGAACAAGAATCCGAGTTTTTGTGAAGCAGCTTTTGCGATGGATCTGACATGATTATCCCATGAAAGAGTGTTGCTGATGGAAATACCGAACGTTCATTCGTATGTCTAGCTATAATAGTTATAGTTTTTAATTGTTTCATTCTTTCCATGGGTTACTTGATCAGAATAAATATGGTTCATTCATTTCTCTCATTTGCCCCATAATCATCAATGATTACTTTTTATTCATTTCACTTTTCATTTCATCATATACTCGAATTAACTTATAATACGAACTCGAATTTTGATTTGGCCACAAAATTATTAATATCGAATATTTTTTCATGAAATTTGGTATACAACCATTTGTGGGGGTGCTGAATCTAATGGTGATTTTGAATTTTTCGTAAAAAAATCGCTAATACGATTTCTTGATTTTTATTCTCTAAAAATAAACGCAGTAGGCCTTGGATTTTGTAGAAATATAAATATGTTTCGTCCTAAAGTACAGTTTTTCGAACTCTACAATTCAAAAAAAAGTTCGTCGAAATCGGTGAATTAATACAAATTTTATCGAGGTGTCCCGCTTTCGAGTGGGTCACACTGTATATGTTAAAATATGTTCGAAATTTTCTCACCTATCACCCCCTTCCAGATATACGTCGGTGAACCAAACACCCTGTATATTATGACAATAGCATAAATTCAATTTGTAAACAAATAATTCTATGCGAAAAGAGAATTGGTAAATTGAGATTTTCATGCCTGCGGAGGAAGAAATAATAATGAATAGAAGTGCCTCGAAATTGGTAGCGCATCACTATGCTATCGAATGAAAGTTTCTGATATCAATATTAATTGAATTTGAAATCCTGATACCTATACAGGGTGTATCCGAAAAAAATCAAGGAGTGATTCCTTGTGATATGTTGATGTTGGAAATATCAATTGTTTTTATTTATAACCCCTTTCATATAAGCTTTCATGGTGCCAAATAACCAAAATTCAGTATGGTTGGAGACTGAGAAAGCCCCAAAATTGCAAAATGATTCCAATTTTGGAGTTATTGAGTAATCTCAATGGAAGTCTTGAAAACACGCCTACATTAAAATCTGGAGTCAAATCGAATTTTCATTGAAAAGCAACATTCTCAGATATATTTATGAACACAAAAAAATGGATATACAGGGTGTTTCAAAATTCAGTATCAAGATTTTAGGGGCGTATTTTTCAGGTCAAAATAAGACGTTTTTGTCCATAAACATGTGTCCGCAAACGCTTCGTTACCGATCTACAGAGCGTTAAAGTTAAACAAATACACGATGAGACATCCACCAACTTTCAAATAATGTCAAATGCTTCAAAACAAACCTAAACGTCAAAATGAAAATAGCAGTCAAAGCCCACTAATTCGCTTTTTCATTGATCCGTTGAAAATTTTAATTAAATGTAGCGAATCACAAAAATTGATTTTACTTTTTTCTCGATAACGATCGCAGATGCGTGAAAATTACAAGGGACAAAAAAATTTGTAAACAAAACAAAGAATCCATTTCGTATCTCAGAATTCACCAGCGGCGCACCACAAAAAAGTTTATGGGGTAAAAAACGGCTTGACCCCTGAAAAAAATATCTCCCTGTAGATTCTCAAATCACTCGGCATGCTGGATGATGTAAGCCCTAGAACGTAACCTACATTCCAAATTTGATCTCAATATCTCGAAAATTGAAAGAGCTATGAAGAAAAAAATAAAAAAATCTTGAAACTTTAACGCTCTGTAGATCGGTAACGAAGCGTTTGCGGACACATGTTTATGGACAAAAACGTCTTATTTTGACCTGAAAAATACGCCCCTGTAATCTTAATACTGAACGATGGAAACTTGTCAATCACATATTCGTGATTAGGTTTTTCTCAATTCAGAATTTCTTTCCACGTCCTGTATGATGAATGTCAATTTATCATACATTTAAAAAATGTTCATTGTTTCCTCAAAAATTGAGCTAGATACATAAATCACACAAAGGAATCACCCCTTTGTCGGTGTTATTTAGATATTTAGGTATTTCTGTGGATGATAACTTTACTGGCTCAATAATTGCAATTTCATTTATTCCTATAAATTGTATATTGACGTTGATTCATTCGAAAAATACCTCTTATTTATAATAAACAATAATTTTCCAGGAGATACGAGGACTAATCAGATGATCACTTTGGTGGTGATGCACACCGTATTCATGAGAGAGCATAACAGGATAGCCTCCATTTTGGAAAAACTGAATCCTGATTGGGATGATGAACAGATATTCCTTGAGACTCGTCAAATCGTAATAGCTGAATTCCAAGTCATAACATACAAGGAATTCCTACCAGCAATCATAGGTAGGTGAATCGACATATACAGAGTGTTCTCAAAGTCGAGTCATAACGTCAGCTTGTAAAAAAAAGTCGATTCACCAGAAATCGTTCATATACAAGGTGACATTGAAATAAGTGCAAATATTTCAAACACTGAGGAAGCTCGACGTGTACTATCGAATGGCACTAATGAAAACAATTTAGGAATCAAAATGAAATTTGCGGTTAGACTTCTTTTTCCACCCAAAGTTCTGCACTGTAGCAAATCTGACGTCACAATCAAGCGGAGTTCAATCATTCAAATGGTTTTTTCCGTCGACCTCGTATTACGATTAAGTTTAATGTATATGAAATCGTTCATTAATGACCTCTATTAATGAACGATTTGTCTATTAATGCACGATTTTTTCATAGGCAACCAAACATACACCGCGTGCACTCATTGTTTATGCTATAACTTACGGAATTTGCATTTAAATCGAAAATATGGATTTCATCGAAGATTTTCCGTTAACGGGTTCGCCTTTCCAAGTTTCTGACACGATTTTAATCCCTGTTTTCTAACACACGAAATTTATTTTCTATGTTGATCATTTCGACATAATGTCAAATGTCACTAATGTCAGTAACAAGGCTACTGGATGATTCTTAGCAGTTTCCGGATGAATGATAAATTCGCGAATCAAGTTTTCTTCATTGCAGGAGAAATGAGAAATATAGTCGACGGAAAAATTTTGTAACCAACTTGTATATTAAAAGGCGATTAATATACACTAGTTGGTTAAATAACTATAAAGTGTCGTATTTGATACTCTTCTCGTATTTTGTTCAATTTTTGGAATGAAATATCTCGTTAATTGGAAGAATTAGAAAAAATCTGATATCATTGGAATATTCCTTAGACTGTATCATATTAATGTGCTGAATATGTGCACTTATTTCAAAAACACCTTGTATAAAATTTGTCGAATGAGAGAGTTATATTTAATATTTGATTGTAAGCTCCAAGTCGATAGAAATTAGTGATTATCAAAGGTGGTGCCATGAGCCTATTTTTGATCGTAGAAGCCGCTGGTGAAGTTTGGCAGGGTAATTTTGGGACGCCCTGTATAATTACATATTCATTGTATACTGGCAAGATGAAATATCATCATTAATTTGTTCTTTCAGGTGATTTGGCAATGGAGGAGTTTGATATTAATCTGGCTGAAGGCAATAGTTATTCATACGATTACGATAAAAAAATTGATCCTTCAATAATCAATGAGTTCTCAGCGGCAGCTTTCAGATATGGGCATTCAACAATTGATGGAATTCTGAAGTAAGTTTGAAAATCATTGAACGCATTTATTCTATTGAATCATGTAATGTTGCCTAGAGCATAAGTCAGATTACCAATGAATGAATGATTTGATAGTTGAAACATCAGCAGATTCGTCTTTGAAACAAAATGATAGTGAGTATGCCTGCTCTATTGTCATCAACTAGATAGTGAACAAAAATACCAAGTGACCGATCTAGGGGTTGCGGGTCAAAGTGAAATGGGGTAGAGGGTGAACTCCCTTTAGGTAAAGATGTTGTTCGATGCTTTGGAGAAGAGTGGACTCTATATATGATTGTTTCATTGCTTGTTGATTGAAAGAAATTGTAAATTCTTCTAGAATTTTAACTTTATTGATCAAATCTAATAACATTTTAATTGGTTGTCATGATAACAAAACAAAAAACATATTCATCTCATCCTATACAAGGCCTACGGGAGATTCGTACCAATAAAATATGGACAAAAGTTTATATGAACATGATTGGTCCGAGAATGCTTCTTTTACGTGATACAGTTTGAAAAAAAAGTAATTCATCAATATTTTGAAAATGCTTAAGCCGAGTTCAAATGGAAAGGATGATATCCCAATGTTAATTGATGGCTTTGACGAAGATAGAAGTCGAACACCCTATACACAATATCTTTATTTATTCGATTCCTTCAAATTGCTCACAAAGACAGGTAGTAGGGCCAAAAAGGAGCCTTTATGGATGATTTAGCAACATTGCCAATATCACCAGGTTCACGTAAAGCCCTATTGAAAATATATTGAACCGTTTGCAGGCATTTCAACGAAAATGCTATGTTGTCATATTTCAAAAACCACATTGATTCGAAATCTGATATTTGGAGACTTGTGTAATGAGGAGGCGCTTAATTGATTGCGATGAAAATTTTCAATTGGAAGAATTCAGTTACCCTCAATTTCTACGAGCCATTTCCGAAATATGAGACCGTCCCCAGACTTTTGGAAGACACTGTATATCAAGCCGTGACCAAATATCGTCACATTCACATTAGAGTATCTTAATAGATTTGCGTATTCCGAAAAAAAAAAAACAGAAGTTATCTATCCCGGATATGGCGAGAACGGTTTTTTTTTCTAGGATATACGGGATGAAGCGAATGGAACAAATGATTGAAATCCCAGAAGTAATGTTCTATCCATCCCAAATGAGAAAAACCAAATTCTTGGATATGGTACTCAGTACTCTCACTACAGAGCGAATGCAAGATGTAGATTCGTCTTTCCCAGAAGCTGTAAGTATTAGATTCGAAACGGATCGTTTGACACTCGATTTCGATTTCTATTTGTTGATTTCTTTTCAGGTAACGAAATATCTGTTCAGAGCTGGCATGCCATTCGGAGTTGATTTGGCAGCAATCAATATTCAGAGAGGTAGAGACCATGGAATAAGGCCCTACAATGACTACAGAGAGCTCAGTGGTTTACCTCGATTCACACAATTCAGTGATTTCGGACCCGAGGTAATATACAGGGTCTTTCCGAAATTGAAACGATAAATAAAGTGCTGAGTATGAAAGTAGATCACAGAACGAAACGAGATAATACAATGTGTTTTATAATTGAATATCAAAATTTGGGGAGTCGAAAGTTTCATATGAACGCATGACCTAAACGTTCTAACTTTTGAGATACAGGGTGGTGAAGTTCTCAAAAATTGATAGTTTTTCATTATTATCTGTAATACCACTTCATATATTCTGATGGAATTAAGCATACATATTATACTATGTTTCAAAAATATCTATCCTTCTATACCTAACTCGTCCTCCTACTTTCACCCCCTAGAAAGTTGTGGAAACAACTTCAAAATCTGTCATTTTTCATCGTAAATAAAATTGAAAAGTCATCTGGAATTTTTGAGAATCATTGATCGAAAGTTCGAAGCCAAACATGGTCATTTTCTTTCGACAAGAAGCAAGGGAAATGTCAATGAATTCTGCAATATTGCCAGACGCTGAATTGATATTTTAAATGATGGGTATTGAAACCGAGCTGAAATTATAATCAGTATGATACCAAATGATTGGCAAGAATTGGCATTGATATTGGTTGAAACGTGGTTGAAACAAAGAAAACGTCACATTTTGACATGTGGAAAAGATAATCAGGGTAATTTTGATGAGATTTCGCCGTGTATTTATTTTGATGAACTTGCATTTTCATTCGAGCATTGAGCTATCATAACAATTCATCAGCGGAACTAGGTTATAACTCGTAATCTAGAGATATTTTGGTTGAACACAGAGGGAAGTGGAAAATAATTTCCCATTATCTCCTCGAAGAACTTTGCATGCTGCTCTCGAATTGAATGTGAGTCATAGTCGGTGTCAGATTACTATGCGGGTACCTCATACACTTTGTAAACCTTAATGTGTATATTCTGTTATTGCTGGATTTTTGGTGTAGTCCAGTATCCTGCAAAACACAATCAGTTGACATTACTTTGAGAGAATTGAAATGAAGTATACTGTTCTTAAAAATTGAATTTGATCGTTATTTCAACAAGAACTGTTCTAGAGCTGTTGCCTTGAAGCTTGAAACAAACAGCCTGTCATCGCTGATGAAATAGCACCGACCCTGCATCAATGAAACCATAGGATGCCAAAATATGAGATCAAAACTTATAGATTAGCTCAATGACTTCTGTTCGATTTGGTCTCTCGCTAAATCGTTATTCTCTAGATATGTCGAACAATTCTCTACCAAAACTTTTTCATCTAAACACCGCCAAAGCTTCCTACAAACATAAAAGGAATTCCTTTTGGCACGAAAAATCATCAGGAAAACAATGAAAATGCTGTTAGAGGTAAAAATAGAACAATGTAGCATCCACGATGATGACATTGGTTTATTTTTGCCTTAAATAATTATTCACCCCTCTCAAGTGAATAAATATGGACTTTCACCTCAGATTTAACCATCATGTGAAAGTTAATGAAAAAAATATTTTTGAAACTTTTCTAATCTGCAATTTTATTCAAATACCCTTTGTAAAAGTTATTGAAAATCATTCAGACTTATCAATAATAGATCAAATCAACGATTTCATAATCAACTTTTTCATATGATTTTTACCTATTATTATTTCACATATTCTACGATATAGCTTTCGAAACTTAGGTGAGAACTACCTATGATGGCACCCCTAACGAATAATCTCGATATCAAAGTAACACATTGGTATTCGAGTGAATTTTTTTCATCAGTCTCTAGCTTTCCATTACTATATAAACAACATTTCGAAGAATTTTTTCAAAGATTTTCTATGAAAAACGAAAACATATTTTTAGACATCATAGGCACTTGATATGATGATATCATTTGATGGCATACTTGATTTCCTATGATGGCATGCTCTATTTTCTATGATGGAATAGTCAATTTCCTATGATGCCTAATTATTACTGATTTTCCGCCATTACTTTCTAACAAAACAGATAGTTACAACACAGGACCATCTTGTCCTATGATGGCATAGTATGCCATCATACGACTAGGTGTGCCAACATGCGGAAACTGCATAATTTTAGAATTTTTTTTCACGCTAATCTTGTATGCAATAATCACTGCATCATATATGAGATGCAAGGTTATAGTTATTGAACCTTTATGAACAAATATGAATAGAAAAAAACCAAGCAGGACTTGATATATCTCTACATTTCTGATATCAGTACCCACCAAATATAGATTATTCTCGTAAAATTGTAAAGAGGCCACATACAACATTCAACAGTTAGAGGACAACTATAAAACATTCGTTATGCTCTTCAAAATATCCGATGAAAGTGGAAATATGGCGACTATGCCTACTTGGGTTCTCCCCTATTTACTGTTCAGATTGTCTAAAGACAAAAGCTATATTCTATTAAACGATTGATCAAATATCCTGATATTATGTTTCAGTATGCCGACTCCCTCAGTACTGTCTATGCCTCAGTAGATGACATTGACTTGTGGGTAGGCGGTTTGTTGGAGCCTAAAGATGGACAAGGCATCCTTGGAAAAGTCTTCAGAGATATGATAGCCGAGCAATTCTCAAGGCTTAAGAAAGGTGACAGATATTTCTTCGAAAATGATCCCACCATCAATCCAGGACATTTCACTCCAGGTTAGTAAAATACCGAAAATCGAAACGAGTAAATCTAAAATGGTCATATTGAATCTCATAAGGTAATTACTTGTTACGAATCTGGCAGCGTCAAAATATGTATTCCTACTTTTTAAGCGAAAGCCAAAATTCATATAAAGATGACTTTCGTTTCATGACGTCATCGAAGCAGGCTTTTTCGGGGTGCCGATATATTTCCGATGATTTCAAATAACCAATGATTGCATCAAATACTATTTAGACACAGAATGATCAATATGAACAATCCCATTGTTAGATACATAATATTATCATTATTATATCATTTATCAAGTAAGCAAGCCTAATATACAGGGTGTTTCAGGTTTTAGAGCACAAACTGAAATGGGAGGTAGATCTCATCATTTTAATCAGAAAAGTTCATGTATACATCAGTTCGATCTCGTTCAGTTGCGGAGCTATAGGGGGTCAAAGTTTAATTATTTTTTTCTCTTAATTGAAATATCTCGCTTACTTTTCAAGATATCATTTTGAAATTCAGTGTGGTCGATACTATTTAGAATATCATCATTTCAAGACATTTCAAGATTTTCAAAATCTACAGGGTGATACGGTTTTGGGGGTAGAGGCTTCTTTATCCCCCTAAACTTTTTTAGGAAGCAAAACATCCTCTAAATTGAACGATCCACACAATTTGATCAGTGAAAGATGCCAGAGGCGTACGACGAAAAAGTTTGGGGGAGATAAAGAAGCCTCTACCCACAAAAATCTATCACCCTGTAGATTTTAAAAATCTTCAAGTAGCTTGAAATGATGACCATCTAGGAAGTATTGACCACACCAAATATCAAAATAAAATCTCAAGAAGTAAGCGAGATATTTCAATTAATAGAACAAAATTATTGAACTTTGACCCCCTATAGCTCCGCTTCTGGACGAGATCGGACTAATGTTTATAATATAAACTTATCCGATTGAAATTATGAGATCTATCTCCCATTACAGTTTGTGCCTCAAAACCTGAATCACCCAGTATACAAAAATATAAATTTCACATCTATGAATATCTTACAACATTGTTAAGCTATGTGAATATAATTTGAAAACAAAGCAATGTATGTATGTACAGTCGTCTTCAGAGATCATGTCGCACATGGACGGTGTCAGCTCCCTTGATCACTGCTGCAATAAGAGCGCTCATACCGTCCAACCGCGACATGTTCGCTGAAGACGACTGTACATATCACTTACATTGATAGATTGGATCACATAAGTCTAACCAAAAAAGACAGAAAGAATACTGATGAGTTTATCAGAATATTGAATTAAGTTCATACACTTCTTTAACGATGTCTGAAATTGTCTTACTGATTTTGATTTGTGGAAGTTTATTGAAATCATTTAGGCCTTCATGAAACAAGCTATTCATTCCAGGACCCCGCACCGCAATATAAGGGGGGAAATTGGCTTTCGGTGAATTTCCTCGAATTTTGGATATATCGTAGAACTCGTGATGCTGATCACATGCCCCAATTATCAACGCTCTGAATTCAATAGTTTGTATTATACAGGGTGCTGAAGTTGACTTTTTCAAAATTTCGAATGGCCATTGTGAAGTTTCCTTTTTGAATACCAAAATCAAATCAACTACGTTTTGTTTGTCCATGTGGCCGGTGAAAATCCACTATAGAGCTCAATGATGTCGTATTCACGATATACAGAGTTGGTCCAAAAATAGCAAATGATAATTGCATTTCTTGTATCAGACTATATATTATACACAAGATGTTCAAGTTTCCATAAAACCGCACCCGTCCTGATATCCATATATCCATCGAATGATTGGAATCCTGTTAAACTTGGTGAGGAAGTTGATGATTCGTGATGACAGTATTTTATGCGATACCTGAATTATACAGGGTGGTTGAGAAAGTAGTAGTGGAGTTTTCTTGGAGTTGACGTACTCAGGATTCCTGTCTTGTTTCTCAATTGCTCTGGAGTACGTCAACTCCAAGAAAACCCATTACTACTTTCTCAACCACCCTGTATAATTCAGGTATTTGCATAAAATATTGTCATCACGAATCATCAACTTCCTCACCAAGTTTTACGGGATTCCAATCATTCGATGGATATAATGATGGATAATATGAATATCAGGACGGGTGCTGTTTCATGGAAACTTGAACATCTTGAACATAATATGTAGTCTGATTCAAATAATGCAATCATCATGAATCGTTGTTGATATTAGTATAATACGGAATGTCCAAAAATGAATTGATTTCAACTGCTCACTATTTCGGAAATAATTGAAACATTTGCTATTTTTGGACCAACTCTGTATATCGTGAGTACGTACAGATATCATTGAACTCTATGGTGGATTTTCACCGGCCACATGGACAAACAAAACGTAGTCGATTTGATTTTGGTATTCAAAAAGGAAACTTCACAATGGCCATTCGAAATTTTGAAAAAGTCAACTTCAGCACCCTGTATAATACATACTATTGAATTTAGAGCGTTGATAATTGGGACATCTGATCAGCATCACGAGTTCTACGATATATCCAAAATTCGAGAAAATTCACCGAAAGCCAATTTTCCCCCTATTGCGGCGCGGGGTCCAAATTGTTTGTTTGTTAGATTATTTTTGTCTCTCATCACATTTCCTGATCGATATAGTCATTCTATTAGTTAGGCCAAAGTCCGTTTTTTAGTGTTGATTTCTCGAAATGTCTAGAGTATTGAAACCACGATCCCAAAAAACTTGTGGGGGCAAAATTAGTCTTTTGGGATACTATATATTATTATCTTTCTCCATGACGGGATAATGTGAGAGTTATGAAGCGAAACGGTCTTTTCTACTTTGGCTCCCCCCACATAAAGGGATTATTCCAACATTGTATCGGCCATATACAGGCTACTCTGTTGTTTTTATATATCCGCAGTGGTGTACTTTTCCCACCAAAAAGCAAATTACAGATCGGTATCTCTCGATATATTCTAAAATCTGGGTCGCAATCTCACCTAAATGTCTTCCACTTATCAGGTCTGAATCATCTTGCATAAACTTACTATAAAGTTCAATACCTACTTAAAGTTGGTATCTCTTTCGATTCACATCAGATCATCCTCATGACATTGAAGGTTATAGCTAATTATATCATTAAGGACAGTTATTGTGTTTCTCATTATCCAAAAAGAAGCATTGAGATATTTATGTAAGGCGGAATTTAATGATTCCTACGGATGAATTTTTGTGGAACAGAGAATCATGACGTTTCCTACTCTCTTGATTCTGGAAACTGTTTGTGTGATTCACAAAAAACTAATCACTAACCTGATATGAACAAGGGCATTTCACAACATTGTAGATTCAAAAAAACCCTGAAAAACTACTGATCAAAAAGGCATATTATACCGTTGACGAATTCTTAGCAGATACTACTTTCTAATTTTTTTTTTTTCTAACTGATGACTTTATTGATCCCCCACAAGCATGCTCTGCATTCACTTATTCCAAGCTTTAAATTAATTTTCTTGTGTTTGAATCTTGTTAGTTTATTGATTGTAATGTTGTTTTGATTTATATACGTATAACTACTTGTAAATTAATTTAGCATAGTAATGTCTCATAATTATATTATTCGATATTTCTTCATGTTTTACATTTTGATCGTTCAAGCATTGTTAGGAGAATCTTATTCTTAAATAATAAAGCACCTCTTGACTTGACTTGTCTTGTATCAAAGCGTTGATGTTGCTATACTGGGTGTCCCAAAAAGGTCTGTACAAAATCTTAGCACATACCCCTGAGGTCAAAATAAGCCGCTTCGAAGCAACTTACCTCACATTGCTCCATTTCCGAAATACAGGATGGTGAAGATAAAAAATAAAAAGCGACAAGTACACTCCAAAGTTTTTTGAAAAATCCATCATTATATACACTGCTAATTTTTTCTTGTGGTTGTTATCTTCGGGTCCTATGATTGTAATATTATTACACTCTGCCATATGTTGTCCATTTTTAGTGAGGATATGTTCAGTTATCTTAGGCTCCTTGATAGGAAAATGTGTTAAACGCAGTGGAATTAAATTATTTGATGAATATAATGGCTGGCGCCTATTTTACTCAACGTTTGGTATTCACTACCGACTATTTCTCTAATCTCTCAGTGTATGTCGACCATAATGTATTCGCAAGATTCACGAAGTGGGCGACATCTAGGTTACATAATACGAACTTCAAACTGGGGGAAAACAAGCTGTTGTCTAAGTGCATAGACTACATTGCATTCAGCTTGCTGTAGCTGTAGTCAAACTTGTCAATGACATACAGTGTTGGCACTGTTGGTAGTGATGATGGTTGAGTTGGTTAATTTTCTACATTATTACATTTTTATTAGCTTAGTGAACAGTGAACGGGTGATAAATTTGAGATAGTTTAAACAATACGAATTAATTATGACGAGCAAATCAATTGACATATAAAAGAACAGCTACAACATGTTCACAATACCCAGATTGTCCTGCTTTGCATGAACAAATACAAATCCATTGTTCTACAGGAGTTCCTTTGGACCCCAACTTCAATTTTACTTCATGTGGGGAAGATTTCATCGCCGAAGTTTGTAGATAAAGTGCAAAAATGTGCCTTTTGTTGAAGTCTTCTGCCTCACACAAAATCACATGATTAGCACGGAGAACTGCTTCTCCTTCCACTACTAGTCGGCTTTCTCTGTCTAAATAGAGCAAAATATCTGCCAAAAGAACATTTACAATATTATTAGCGTTTTTGATCGAACATTGACTATTAATCGCAAGAAATTCAAAAACTTATCACTCTTATCAGTACACAAGTTGATGGCACTGATGGAATTGAGTGAGGATTGAGTTTGTTTTTCCCCAGTTTTGACGTGGTTTTGACATGGAACGACGAAAACCGAGCGCCACCTGGTAACATTGATTCATGCGAATAATAAGGTGCAAGTTCTTCTATCGTGTCAGTTTTATTGGAATGGTATCTCAGAGGCTATATCCATAGAATTCCATTAATTTTGAATTGCCATATAATGATGAACATGTGTATGGGATATTCTTTGACTACTTGATATTTATTTTCCAGAACAATTGGTCGAGTTGAGGAAGGCATCAATGTCCAGGATAATCTGCGACAATAATGATCACATTTTGTTGCGTCGGCAAGCCAAAAATGCTTTCAAGGTTCCTGATGTTCCTGGGTGAGTATCGAATGAACTGACCCCGCACCGCAATAGGGGGGAAATTGGTTTTCGGTGAATTTTCTCGAATTTTGGATATATCGTAGAACTCGAAATGCTGATCTGATGTCCCAATTATCAACGCTCTAAATTCAATAGTTTGTATTATACAGGGTGCTGGAGATGACTTATTCAAAATTTCGAATGGCCATAGTGAAGTTTCCCTTCTGAATACCAAAATCAAATCGATTACGTTTTGTTTGTCCATGTGGCCGGTGAAAATCCACTATAGAGTTCAATGATATCTGCACGTACTCACGATATACAGAGTTGGTTCAAAAATAGCAAATGTTCGAATTATTTCCGAAACATTGAATTTTAAAAGTGGGCTATGTATTTTTCATATCAAAACAGTTCAAATTGAAGGAATATTTCTTTTGATTTTTCCATGGAGTGGACAAAAACAATATCAACACTAATTAACTCTAACATAACATTAACTTAGGTACCTGATATAGCAACGAGTAAATGGTAAGTAATAAAAAGTTTATAATGTAGAAGAAACACCTGACTTGACATTGACTTTTTCATTGATTTTTCAAATTGATGCCCATTTGATTCCTGATCGAATTTTTATATCATTATGATATTTATTAAGAAAACGTTCACGCTGAGGTTGTATAGGGAAATTCGAAAAAAAATTGAAGTTGCTACTACTTTCTAATAGAAGTGGAACATTCTATTATCAAAAATATTTCAATTGATTACCTATAGAATATTCGAATATAGCTTTCCAATCAAAGTTTCAAAGTGATCTTAGACACTTTGTTACCATCAACGTCTCGTTCAATATAGGAGAGTTTTGGGATGGATCATTCTATTTTCAGAGAGCAAAAAATCAATCACTTCCCCGCAACCAAAACTTGATAAACGTTAATTTGAAGCGTTCGAACATATTTTTCAAAATCTCCTCTTTTACAGAAATGAATTTTTGGACTGCAAAAGTGATGCTATCCCAAGGATGGATCTGAGCTACTGGTCACATTGATTATCAATCATAATAATATAATCAGTACCTGTTTTTAATGTGTTCAAGCCCACTTGGTTAATGCAATGTTTGTTTTGTTACGTTTGTATTTCGATGTTTTTAAGAGATGTTTATAAACTATTTTTTACAAAATACGTCGTTCTTATTATTAGTTGAAATTCCTGATTGAAAGATCCATATTCAGATAGATATAAGGGAGTTTCCTTTTTTATTATCACTATTCCACTATCAGCAACGATGAAGCTTCTATGAGGGACGAAATATAGGTAATGTACCAAAACCCGAGTTTTGTTATTTTATTATTGATCGATCAGTTTCAACAACAGTTTGGTTTGATTACTCTGTGTCTAAATACTGTCTGTTCTAGTGAGAATTGGAATTGGAAATATTGTTCGAAAACTTCAACCATTAAGTAAATAATATTGGAACCAATTGAGAGCTATGATATTCAATCATGTGAATAAATGTTAACATCGCAGGCAATTCATACATGAACTACGTTCGCTTCAGACATAAATAATTAAATCCCAAATTTTATATTCAGATGGAGTTCGTGTTTGGAGTTTGTTCAAGTTATGGAGTTCGTGGCGAACTTAGTCTCCTCCAACAATGAGAGATCGAAGATCGTCTATAGTCACTTACTTGATCAGTTAAAAAGAGATAGAGACGGCGTTACAATTTCATTTTATTCAAATTCAAGTACGAGGTAATACATCAAAAATGCTACTGTTTTATTTACAAGAGTGCCAGACGTATATCTCATCATATAGAATCGATGAGAATGACTCAAAGGATGCTGCTTCACATCCAAACAATTTTTTAGAATATCCTCTTTTTCCATCAGCAGGTGAATTTTCATTACATGCAGTTTTCACATTTTGATGATCATAATAACACTTGCGCAAAAACAATTCAACATTGACATAACTTCTGAGAATATATTTTTGATTTGACATTCCTCCCATTTGTTTTCCAGCCATCAACAAGTGATCAGGATGTCAAAGGTTTTTCAAATAGATTAGATAAAATGAATGATTTTTCTGAATGTGAGCAGATGATGATCGAGTGTCCCATCCTACTTCTGTTGGATTGAAAGTTTATCCTGAAACAAGAAATAATGAGAAAATAATATTTTTTTCACTAGCGTGCGGAAAAAATCACATTTGCGCACTTATTTTTGTGTTTAAAGAGTCAATTTTTCGCACTAGTGCATAAGGAAATAGTATATTGTTCAACTAGCAGCACGAAATGATTGTCATTTGCCACGAGAATGATGTTACAGCATTCACCTATTCTGCGTGAGTTATACACCATACTTTTTTCACGGCTGTAACACATAACAGCGGCATTTTCGATTTCTTCGGCTTATAGCCATCTGATAGAAATAGCTGTCTTTGCTCGAAATTTCACATCCCATGGGAGATGAGATTTTGTGAGATAAATAACACAATAAAGACATGGTGATGTCAGATATGGAAATGAAATTAACGACATACATAGTATGTCATTGATTCATCTAACATAGTGAAACAAGAGCTATTTTCTGTTATACCCGTAAAATGAATTTTTCCTCACTTTCTGCGGAGAAGTAAAGAAGTTTTTGGGAAGTATACTGACATTTGAATGTTCAATAATCATAACAAATATTTCTTTAGGTCGACTTTTGGTTTTTTCCGCACGCTAGAAGAAGAATGGTGTATCTAACACGTGTGTTAAGTCACTTTTCCGCATTAGTTAGGTAAACTACTATTCCGCCTACTATATAATATGAAAGTAAATCATATCAACCCGAAAAATGTGACCGAAAGTAATGCACATGGTTCCTTGGACTGCTAAACTCATAACACGATTTTGAAGGTTTTCACCTCAGTTTTCACTATCTATACACCTTTGACTGTCAGTACTGTCACTTGCGTGATGCGTATTATGAAGTTATACATAAAATTCCATTGAAGGTCAGTGCATTGTCAATCTGAATCAAAAAGATTTTTTTTATTTTATTTGTTTTATCGCTTGTGCAGCTTATAGCTGCGATTAGTTGAAGCTCAATTTCTGTCTTAGTGACAATTTATTGTAGACTGGCATCAGATCAGGTACCAGTAGAGGAAGAATCAGAGATTGAGCAGTTTGACCAATAGAAGCAGCATTTTTAATCATTATTCCAGATTTTTTGGGATTTTCTCTCCTCGTTTCTATAAAATACAACCATGAATATTATTTCAATATACGTGTAGTGAGGACAAATCAGAGATGATTTGCCCCAAAATGTCACTGCGTTTGAAGAATTTCTCTATCAAAAAGAAAAATTCACTAGCTTGTCAGTGGCAATTTTCATTGAAAGAGATTTGGAGAAGAGAAGATTTGGAGAAGAGACTTATCTTTAGACGGTTCGGGAACAAATCTGCTCCCGTTTTCAACCTAAAAAAATGGATTTTTCTATCGCAAATGAGTATTCGTCTTGATATTTCTCAGTGACAATTGGTGACGTTGGCAATCAACTGAGTGACAGGATGTTATCATTAATTAATCTTGAATTTGCCATATTTATTTTCAGATTTCAGTAGTGAATACCATGATCTATCTATATCAACACGTATATTGAAATAGTATCCATATACTTATTTTATAGAAACGAGGGGAGAAAATCTAAAAAAATCTCGAATAATGAATTTACCACTCCCTCAATTAACCTACAGACAGTATTTAGCGTTTTTAATAACAGATTTCCTTTCATGCGCTTCAAGATATGAGAAAAATGTGCTTGGATTCCTTGAACTTACCAAAAATTTTGGAAACCTCATCATATTATCGTCATAGAGTTGATCTTCAGACATCAGTTCCTTTCTGTAAAAAAACACGGATGATGGTCAGTATCGTAAATAAAATGGATATCAATAGTGAAAACAGTTTTTTCACGAGGTTCAACAGAGATAGTATAGTTGATTGACCTCAGTTCGAATGATAAAAGTTAATTGTTTCATTAGGATCAAATGTGATACTTTGTTTGACAAGCGATATTTGCGTTTGCGAGGCAGATCGACCGCGAAGCCTAGCACGCAAATTTGCGAGTCAAACAGAGTCACTTTTGATCCGAATGAAACATGCTCTTTTCTGCAATCGGAATAATTTTTATCTAATTAATGAAATATAAGTGGAAATATCATTATTTTGAGTCACTTGAGCATGTCAATGTCACAACAGCCATCATAACAGCTGTCATGCAACACGTTTTTAGTTCCAAGGAGGTGAACTTCAACTTTGGCTCCTAGACACACTAATCATTTCACTGTGTCACTAAGAGAGAGGTCAACTTCAAGTGCTGATTTTGAAACAAAAATGGACGACTTCCGAACCGATTACAGAAAAAAAATTAAACTCACGTTGTGAAATTGAATATATTCTATTCAAATCTTACTGATTATGAGATATGCATTTGAAATAATGTATTAAAAAGTGCGATTGGTTTTTCAATGACTAATACTCAGAAGTTTAACGAACTTTGAAGATCAATATAATACTCTCTATGAAGACTCATGATCATTTAAAACGATGTCACCCCACTCTTGGAGCAAATAGTCGAATTCCATCAGAGGAAGTTTCTGTGAAGTTTCTCACTAATTTGAAGGGACATCAGCTGACAAAGTGGGCCTAAAATCGGTCAACTTATATGGTACCTTAATACAGAATGACATATATCAGATATCAAGGGCAACAAAATATCCGATGCCTGTTATTTTGGAGTTCGAAGTTGCTTAGTACAGAGCAGTTAACTTGTAATTATTAGATAATTAGATCATCTGTTATCGGGTCTGTCTACCGAAGATGAAATCGAAAAGCAGCTCCTTTCAGCTACTGACCATGTCTTATCCTCCACGAGAGCTTTTTTTTGTTGAAGTAAACTTGACATGTATCAATTAGAATATTTTGTTGCCTGAAAATTTGCCGAAGAAAACTGCCGCCAAAAAAATTACGAGTCCGTAGGCCGAGTAATTTTTTCTGGCAGTTTTTTGAGTTGAATTATCTAATGGCAACAAAATTCGAAAAATAAATGCCAAGTTTACTACGACTAAAAAAAAGCTAGGGTGTAATTCGGTAAGACATTTTACATGATGAGAAAAATAAATGTTTACTATATCTAACAATTTTTCAGGAGGGCTCCGACATTTATTCATAATTGATTACAGGAAAAAGCCATATATATGTGAGTTGTAGTCGAATTTGACCCAGTCTAATTATTCGAAGGCAATTTGACTGGAACTAGCCTTCTGAATCTGTAAATGAATGTAATTGTCAACATTTTAACGTGGACGACGTTATACTGTTTCAAAGAAAATACATCTCTGTGCATTCCCCAATTTGGACTCATCTAATTATTGTAATAAGACTCGTATTTGCTGTTGGTAGTTCGTTGTTCTATCACATTTGCAAATGTGACAATCTCTGAAATGGAACCAGATTCAACAATGAACCAGAATGATTAGATGAGTCGAGCTCATGCACACAAGGATCGAAATTCAATCGAAATTCAGATAGAACATGCTCATCAGGTTTAACATACTCATTTTCAGAATAAATTTCGTCATGGCGAGGGAATAACCAAGAAATAATCGATATTTCACGATTTTGAATTCATCAGTTTTGTCAACTTTCAACATTTCATTTGATCCCAATGTCTCGTCCTCGTTAAAGTAGGTAAAATCAATCATATTTTATACATTAATAAAACAAGCAGCAGTACTACAAGTAGCACAAAAAATTCAAGAAAGACTTGATACGGGAAATTACGTTTTACCTAGCTATTTTCATTGACCTTGAAAAGGCATTTGATACAGTTGAATCTCTTAGAATACTTGGAATCGATGGGACTCAGAGGCATTGTTAAACATCTTTTCAGAATCTCCACAGGGATATGTTTTAGGGCCCAAATTGTATTTATTATATATTCAGAATATTTTTGAAATTGGATTGCCGGGTAATTATACTATATGCAGATGACACTGCACTTTTATACGGAAACAAAAACCCCATCAATCTAAAAAATATTATTAACGAAGATTTGAAAAAATTTGAAAAATGGCTTTATTCCAAACATTTTATCAATTTAAACCAATTGAAAATTGAATATATAATATTCCAT